GAGCTTTTCAAGTTACTTGCTTTTCAAACATTCAAGAACTCCTTTTAATTACATCCAAGAAATTTGAAATAAAATTCCGCGGATTGTTTAATTTTAATCTCGACTGTATGAGACTTATGTCACTAAAGCAACAGCAGAAGGTGTAATGAAGCATTTTACAACTCTCTTGAGGTCACTTAACACTACAATCCTTTTTTCGTAAATAAAAAATAAGGATAGATGTCCTTGTCACTGTACGTATCTATAGAACCATTTGCAGTGATGTAATGACTAATAAATATTGCATACGTGTTTAAATTACTGAAAACTCAATGTAAAAACTTAGAGTTACTGTGATCAGTTACTAATGCTCTCATCTGCATTTGTATTATTCACTTTATTCCATTGATAACAGCTGCTTTCAATTATTTAGTATCATTGAATCTTTAGCACACGTAAACACACCTCACTATTTTTCTATTAACCCTTTGCACTCGAGAGGAGCCTTTCAGTTGCTATTCAACTTGACCCAGCAAAATTATAAAATATAAAATTCAATATTAAATTTTATATGATGTATCAACACATGGAACTTGGAAATAAAATAGTTATACCCCTTAATTTGTGCAAGGTACATCTTTATATTAATTGCAAAAAGAGTCATTGATACTTCATCAAAAAATAATGAATATTTGTTGAAAAAGATATACTCGATTGTAAAGGGTTAACATTATTTTGTTGTTTATGTAGTTTCATCTAAAGTAAATTTAAGTTTCAGAAAAAGGGTTGAAATGTTAAAGATCAGACATATTGGGTTATTCCATAAATAATGAGGTTTCGTATGTGTCGTATTAAAAACAGTTTTATTTCTCTTTATTTTTAAATATAGAAGAAATATAAAAAAAACAGCCTGGGATGATACGTAGCATTTAAAATTGCGTCTTTTCAGTGAGACACAGTTGAATAACATTCAAATAGTGAAAATTCGTTCACACAGGCCATGAAGTAGATGCGTGACACACGAAAACCATATCTGCTGTTTCCACGGAATGGTAGATAACCTTCACACTTAAAGGTTCCTTTGATTACCAGGGCCTCACAGAAATTAGAAATTTTCCATTTCTTCAAACAGCCTACATTGGGCCATCCTACTAGACAAAAACAATAGTCAACTTATCAGGGACATGTATGTCTGTGTGTCCAGCATGTGAAAATATGTTGGGTGCACCACAACAAGCTCACAGATAAAAACAATCAAAGTCTCTCATTAGGTACTAACGAAGATCAAATGTCTCTGAAATATTACCAGGAAATTCCATATATCTCTGATTAATCTAGACAGAGAAGAAGTAATAAGACTCTCAGTAGCTACAACTTGAGAATAATTTTAATCTAAAGAAAATTGGACTCTGAATGTGAGCTAATCTGAGTAAACAATCAGATTCTGGATTAAAATATTAGAATATTAATATAAATCCAATTGTAATAGCATAATACAATTAGAAATCCAAAGTGTGAAAATAATAATTTATAGTCTAGCAATTATATTTAATATTTCATAAATGAAAACATTTAAAGGTGAAGAAAGATTAGAATCTGAATGAGATAAAAAATTCTTGCGAACTTTAATATTGCAATTTTATGAATTAAAGAATCAAAACAAAAGGGAGATTGGAATCTCAATAAGATCAAAGATCAATCGAACTCTCCGATCGAAAAATACAGAAATTTCTGAAAAGAAATCCTAGTCCTAGACATAAGGAAACATTGGAAATCGTTCGTTCCTTCATTCACGAGTGAACAAAGTATAAAGAACCTCTGGACGAAGAGATGCTGAGTGGGAGGACCAACAGAAATAACTCAATGACCACATTAGATCTGATGCATGCGTTCTAAGACCAGCAGAAGAAACAGAGCCGTGGATGCTTGGAATCGTTTGGCTCGCATTTGATTTGACTTGAATGTGGTAATTTGACGCAAGGTCACGGTTTCGAGTCAACGACAGGAAATATCAATTGATAACGCGTAACTAGGCCAGGAAAATTTCTTGGAAATAAAAATATCAGCTATCCTACTACTAACTAGTTTGAAACTGGAGAATAAGTTTAAAGTGATAGTTTAAAGTTGTAGATTCAGTTTGAAGTAATAGTTTAAAGTTGTAAATTAAGTTTGAAATAATAGTTCAAAGATGTAAATTAAGTTTAAAGTTGTAGATTAAGTTTACAATAATAACTTAATGCTACAGATATTTTTACAGTTCACACAAAAATATTATTAAATTCTGTTCTTACAGATTTCTTACTTATATTTTAAACAAATTTATCAATGCAAGAAAACCATAAAAACATATCGAATATTTAACAAATTATCAACAAAATCGTCGATACACTCATTGATAAGAAAAACGATTAATTACGTTATACTATTAAAAATGAATGATCTAAATAAATAAATAAATAGATGGTTAAATTATATAATATAAATTTAATAAAGATAAATATATTAAATATTAAAATTAAGTTATATTAAATGAATTATATAACTTAATAAATAAATGACGTGTTATTAAGTGTTATAAACGTAAATCGTTTCTTCTTTCTGTGGGTATATCTCGTCCATAATTAGTGAAGAAAATTCGCGGAAAGGAGGAAATGCTCGTTTACGTTCGCATAACACAGTTCGCATGACTAGTGCAGAATTTCACGACAATTTGTGGCCCGCGTGAGCCTTCTTCCTTTTTTTCCCTGGATAGAATGTCGAGTAAAATGATCGAGTTTCCTAGATCGTGTACAGATTGATCCTAGGAGTTCGTATTATTAATGGCTCATGATTATCCATCATTACACATCAAAGTCGGTCGCAATTCAAAGTACAACAGGATCATGCAATTATTAATACTTCGACGAGCTACTTAAGCATTTTATAAACAACTCATTTCATGTGTAAAAATGACAAACATACGTCCAACGTGTATTCATTCTACAATTCTACAGTACTAATAAATTGTTTCGTTGAGGAAAAGGTTGAAAATTTGTATTAGATTAATATAATATATTGTTAGTAATGTATATAATAATATACAATAAATAATTATATTAATATTATTGGTAAATATATTGATATTATAAATACAATAAATAAATATTAATGTATTTATATATAATTCATAATAATATATTACTTTTTATGGATAACATTTCAAGGATTCCGAGAATAAAACTTCTTGCAGTGTGCGGTGATCGTTCTATTTTTAAATTCAAGTTTTACAGGCCATCAAAATAAATGTCTCAACGAAGTGTTGAATTTAAAATGCAAAGTGATTTTTTACTGAAGTGGAACACGCTATTAAAAGCGAATTATAATAAAACGAGCGGAATACACGCGTCGCGCGTATTGTCCTTTTCGTGACATAGTTCCTACGACAATGGCCTTTCCCGCGTTAATTACCCACTAACTTGATCTCCCGCGCCTGACCATTTCTTTTCATCTTTATTCTATTCACCTCAATGGCACTAAATCGTTTCAATAATCATATTAAGCCTCTAATAAACCATTAAAAAAGAAACTTGAAATAATCATAAAATGCAGTACGGTGATCGTCTTCGTAATTTCAAGGTCAGAAGTCGATTATATGAAAATTAACACGAGTAATTGAAGTTTATGTGAAGTTTCCTGCGAGCCTGAAATTATTTACGATTTCACAGAGTCGAATTTACGTGTTAAATTATTTCTACAGGCAAAAGGGGATAACTGATTTTTAAATTAATGATAATTAATTGCAACTATCGGTGACCGTGAACGACGCCATTTTTATTGCGCTCCTCCTGTTTATGAGATAATCAATGATTTACATTTTGAATATTATTCAAATATATATATATTTTTTATTCAATATAAATAATATTGTAATATATATTTTATTCGCAATACAAATCATTGAGTATATCATAAACAGGGGGAGTGCAATAAAAATGGCGTCGTTCACGGTCACCGATAATATTCATGTAATTAATATGTAAGCATGATTAAAATTTAAATTTAAATAGTTACGAGATTTGCAATCAGCAAATATACAAATTATTTTCTGAGATACCTAATCGGTATACAAAAACTTGAAAAAGAAGGATAACCGCGGAATGCGCGCGCAGCCTGTTACGAAAGGACGTTCGCAACTTTTCAAACTCAAAAAAAGATGATTACCTTCATCCTCGTGCGTGCCATTGACGAAACGACGCGTTCCCTCTCGCTTTCGCCTGTCGAATACATTTTTAATTCTCTGTTTGTTTTGCACAACGATAATTTAGACGACTAATAAACGAAAAAATTGCCGGAACACGAACTCGACCCGACGACTTGAGACTATTCCCTCCGACTAACTACCGAATTCAAAACCCTACTACTCGAATCGTTCAGGTACGAAATGCACCGTAAAAAAATTTATTCTCCCATTACAGTCCAGGAAATCGTGAAAAATATTCATATCACGAACAGCAACGAATTATCCAATAAATTATAATCGGACTTTTTGTCATCGAAAAATTCTTTGCGAAAATTACTCACACGTTTGACGTCTTCTGGTCGCGCCTTATTTACGATTCGCGGGAGTAACGCGTTCGGAACATTGTTGCGCGTGGAGTGCTCGAAAGAAAAAAGAAAATACGCTTTCATTCTTCAATGTTCACGCGTGCAATTTGTGTTCGTTTCACTAAATATAATACCGTTAAAATGTGAAGATAAATCGCGGCGCCCGTTGGATTTCATGAACCAGCATCGAAACGTTTCCAATGTTACACCGGTTCGTCGACTACTAACCGCGTACGCGCCCCCCTGCGTGTTCTCTATTCGCGCGCGCGATCGCGGCGCGTCCGAAAGAAAAATTAAAATAAAAATGACGAACCAGGAACGATTCAGTGATTTCGCTCGCCACGTGAAAGGTACGAGAAGGGAGCGGGACAGGGTCGCATGACATTAATGGCACCTGACGATTGGCCGCTAGACGGAGGCTCGACCAGACCGTTTAAAAATAAATTAGCACTGCGCGTAGTGTCGCGCGAGTTAAATTGAAACCGGCCAGTGCACTCGGGGAATTTACGCCGGGCATTCGGTCGCTCGCGCGCCGTCCGAATCGTGTGTGCGTTTTCTCGTCGCCGGCGGTACCGCGCGTGTGGTGGTCACTTGCTTGAGGAATGACGCGCGATCAAGAACACGTGTGAGTGATCGGTGTGTTTTACGGCTGTCGTTCGTCGTCAGATCAATTCCCAGTGTTATCTACGCGTGAATGTGCGCGACGGAAGGTTGAACATAACCTCAAAAAGCGCGCCGTAACCGCGTCCAGTCCGCGAGCACGTTTCACGGTGCACCGGGTTCGTCGTTGTGCTCCGAGCGTCGCGAGTGCTGCGGGGACTATCACTGGTTAAGACTACTTTTCAAATCGGAGTTCCTGAAACGCGTACTCTGCGGGATGATGCAGCGAGAAGCGTGACGATGCTCATTTAACGGTGTCCCGTGTCAACCTGAGGAGGATCATCGGCTACTGACGTATCTCGTGGTACCAAGATGTAAAGCGGGACCAGGGCTGGCCGAGGAATGATATAATTAGTGCGCGCATACGTAAGTTGCAACAAATATATCTATTTCATTGCGAGCGCGCTCCCGACCCGTGTACCGTCTCCGTTGGATCGGATTGTCGTATCATCGTTCCTTTTATTGCCGTTGTTGCGTCATTAATTTACGCGAAGGAAACACAGTTATTACGTCGCAGCGTTACGCACGACGCATCGTTGACCCTTTCACGATCTAGAGAAAATACGAGATGAATGATGTGTCAATTGCGTAACGTCACTGATAACTGCGGGAAAAACACGTGGACGTTTTCTTCTCTTTTGTGTAACCTCCCCTTGTCCCTGTCTAGCGGAATCATTGTTACACGCGACCAATGTTTTGCATATGTATTCGGAGCAGTGTGTGTGTTCTGGTTTATTGAATACAATTAGAGGCATCTTTGATTGGTGTTCTTGTTATGACTGATTCGTACAGTTCACTCCCTAGCAGAGCGCTTCCCTTGGTTCGGCATTCAGAGGTTTGTGGGTTGTTCGTAGGTCGATTGCGAGCAATATGTGTATCTACATGCTGTGAGACACAATGATGAGACAACCTTGAGGTGAAATGTTCCGTAGTTTGCCGGATAGGGTGGCTGGGCTATATTACGCCCATGGCCTGTTCTGCTCTTCTCATCCTATTGCTGTTATTTCATTAGCAATCTCGATAATGTTATTATGTTGGTTAGTAATGTGTTACTTAAATTGTATATCGACTGAACGAAATTGATTGTAAACGGAGGATTGTTCTGTGCTTAGCTACCCTTTGGTCAATTTGCCTATGCCTGGCAATGCGCCAAGGACTATAATCAATCATACATTTGTACCTGAAAACAATACAGAGGGCTCAGTGTTCTATGTGCAACAAGTGGTATTAAGAGTTGGAGTTATTCCATGGACAGAGGAATTGACGCTGATGGATGCATTTCGAGGTCCACTTTATGAAGTTTTTAATCTGTTAGAGATTATACAAAATTATCAACATCCAGAAACGTAAGTTTCATGCGTAGAATTAAGTACAATGTTTACTGACTTTTTTTTAATTTTTTTTTGTTCACATAACTTATAGATTAAAAACACTTGGCCAAGTATGTTTACACATTGAAGCTGTTAAAAAAAGAAATGGTAAAAAACCAGAGGTTTTACCAGAATATAACTGTCTTGTTCTCTCACCCGCAAATTTGTGGCAACGAAGTATAGAATTGTACGCACAAGATACAAATCTAATAAATACAATATATTCATATCAGGTATGGACATTTAGGTGGTAGTGCATTAAGTGTATTTATGTTTAAGTATACTTTAAGTATAAAGGATTAGTACATTTATGTATTCGTATATTGTAGAATTTACAAAAGGGTAAAATTAGTTTAGCTGAAATAATGTTTGGAATGAATCTTAAAGAAACTGGCATAAAACGGTATCCAATCCGTCTTAGACAAAGAATATTGCAGTATGCAGTAACTATTTACTTAAAGGATTATGATCCTGAGTGAGTAATGAATTAAAACTAGCAAGTTATTTAATATTTTTTTTTACAGGGACTTAAATTTGCTATTATCAATTTTCAGATTTATTAAAGGATTACACCATAGATTGAAGGGTTATTATCACCTTCATCAAACAGAAGTTGATAATAGCACATACATACCCACAGACGAAACGTTACACATTTTTTACCCTGGAGAATTTAATTACAGTGACTTTTTTCCGTTAATGATGACTTTTAATGCGCTTTTCTTTTATGTTTATTTTTCTGTGAGGAAGATAGAATTAATAAAGTCAAAGATTGGGATAGCATTTAGCGCAACTGTTACAGTGATAGGTTCACTGTGTATGACTGTGGGTGTATGCTTTTTTTTTGGCTTAACGTTAAGTTTAAGTGGAAAAGAAGTGTTTCCATATTTGGTGATTATCGTAGGGCTGGAAAATGTTTTGGTATTAACTAAAAGTGTAGTGAGTACTCCAACACATTTGGATGTGAAAATACGAGTTGCTCAGGCCTTGTCCAAAGAGGGTTGGTCTATTACTAAAAATTTACTAACAGAAGTGACAATCTTGACAATTGGCTTGTTCACTTTTGTACCAGCCATTCAAGAGTTTTGCATATTTGCCATTGTTGGCTTGGTTAACGATTTTTTTCTGCAAATGGTATTTTTCTCAACAATTCTTGCAATTGACATTAAACGCACAGAGCTATCTAGTGAAACATCCAAGTTCCATATGCCGCATATTCCTAATACGCGTAAACAACAATTTACAACAACAATCACAAGTAGAAAACCGAACATTTTTCGATCGAAGTCACACCCGAGACTAAATGGTTTATCTAACGGTCCAACGAATGTGATAGCTCCAAACACACAGAACACTCATACATTGGGCAAAATTCCAAAGCGTTTACGCATAGTACACTTCTGGGCACGGACGAGAATATTTCAACGTGCCTTTATGGTGTGGATGATAGTATGGATCAGCATGATTGTCTACAATTCTGGTATTGTTGAGCATGTTATACATTTGAGTGAAACATTGAAACCAGAATCCGAGATTGATGGATATACTATAGACAGACCTCAGTCATTAAGTAATTATATCCAATTAAATACAATGAAACCATTATCATTGCCCTCTTCTACTATTGCCCCAGATCATTTAAATAGACAGGTATTACAATAAACATATATTCATGTATATCAATAGATATTTAGGAAAATATTGGCAATCTTAATTTATTAAATTTTATTGTACAATAGGATGATCTAACTAATAATATTACTGAAGAATTAAATAAATTAAAACCTGTGGACTTTCCACCTTGGAATCGTTTATCACTTTATCATTGGTCTTCAGTTCTCTCTATGTACAATATTTCTGCTGCTGGTGGACGAATAACTATATTGCCAACAGTAAAATTATCTCATGCTATAAGTCCACAATTAGTCAAACAAATTAGCAATCCAAATGATGTGCAACATTTTCAATGGCAGAGTCTTGCTACTGCTGCTCTAGACCCATTAGATTTCTCAGGTGTGTATATCTATCAAAATCTTATTGATTCAACTTGTGTATTGGAAAATTACATATGTCCTGCAATTATCATAGATATAGAACTACCAAGCAGATCTGAGGGTAGAGGTTTTAATGCGGATGCACCATTTATTCCTTCAAGCCCTATGGAAATATTTTTGGCTGCAGTACTTTGTCTCATCAGCGTCATCGTTGTTGCATACACGATGGTCGTACTTTATAGATGCATCTGTTCAAGAAATTATGCTGAATGGAGAGCTAGTTGGCATCAACCAGAAAAAGCTCATGACTCAGCAACACAACTAGTTCTAGAGGCATTGCCTTTGGTCCTTGAAGGACACTCACAAGAAGTAGAGTGCATTGCTACAGATAATAACACTATTGCTAGTACATGTTTAGCTGGACACATCCGTGTCTGGGATGCGACGTCCGGTGAACAACTTGCTCATATAGACAGGAAACAGTTTTTCAGCAGTCCAAAAAAAAACTTAAGTCAAACGGCAACAGATGTGGATGAATTAATGTCTGATTATGAAAGCGGTTCACCTCCTTCAAGGGGAGAAATGGAGGGCACTAATTCATTTGGCCTATACTCGGCAGTCAACTACAGAAAATCATCTCCTGGATTATATAATACGCAAAGAGGACAGAGTAATAATATTAATAAGAGACATTCAATGGGAAACACGTTAGAGTATGAGTATCAGGTGAATGAAATGAATATTGAAAAAAGGAAGCATTTACGCAGAAGTTTAGACAATGCTTATGATATTCCTGACCTGAAGTCAGCAATTAATATCAAATTCTCTTCTATGAAACCCGCTTCAACTCAACAAAATTATGAACATGGGTTTGATTTTGGTGATCAATATAAATATCTTGTTGAAAAACACAATAAATCTATAGATGAATTACAAAAAACTGGGAGCACAGAACAATTATGTATGCCTACTGGAAAACTAAATACATCTGCCTTAGTGGGCAGTACATCTTCACTAAATACACATAAAACCATACAATATTCACAAGTATCCCCTATATGGTGCATGGATTATCAAGAGAACCTAATTGTAGTGGGATGTGCTAATGGAAGTTTAGAATTTTGGGAAGGTACTACGGGTAGATTCAAGGTGAGTAACAATTCATAATGAATCTCGATGTTTAAGGAAAATCGAAAACAATGAATGAAACATTTCAGTGTTTGTTTGATGATGGATCAGGAGTTGGGCTGTCCGCAGTTAAATTTATCGGTAGTCGAGTAGTAGCGGCCAAATTAAGTGGCTCCGTTGACTTTTTACAACTAGAGAGTTATAGTGAGGGTCAACAAATTGATTGGGGTTTCACCTCGTACAGAAGAAGTAAGTTTGTTTATAATTGTTGTGTGTTAGTTTTTTGGTCTGCCCTTCTTTGTACTACTATCTTTTTATAGCTCATGTTAGAACAGGAAGTGCTGGCTCACCTATGGATATAAATAACATCATGCAATCCGAAGAAGACCTTCGTTGCATAAAAATTAGTTCTCATAGAGCACACCAGCAAGCAATAACTGTGCTTGACAGTGAGGGTGGTCGTGTTTTGACAGGTAGTCAGGATCACACTCTCAAAGTATATAGGTGTGTATCCTTATTTTCTCTTCAGTTATTTAGTGGCAGTTGACTTCATTTCGTTTTATGCTTCAGGCTAGAGGATCAATTGCCATTGTATACTCTTCATGGGCACTGTGGACCCATATCTTGTCTATTTATCGATAGAATGAGTCCAATGACATCTGGTAGTGGATCTCAAGATGGATTACTATGTGTTTGGGATCTCTTAACTGGTACGTGTATTGTTAAATCAAGAAAATGTAGTAGCTACATAAGTGACAGGCTGCATAAATTAAAAAAAATACCAGTGCAATCCAAGTGACATAATCAAATTTCACTGCAATACTCAATTTGTTGAACAAACGAATTAATCTGTTCCTTCTTTTTTTTCTGTTTACAGGAACGTGCATGTACAGTATACAAGCCCATGATGGTGCAGTGGCAGCTATTACATGTTCAGTGTCATATGTGATAAGCATTGGAACTGATGAAAGATTGTGTGTGTGGGAAAGGTTTCAGGGACACTTACTACATGCTCTTCCAGCACACAGATCAGCGTACAGTTTGCAGTTAGTCATGTTAACGCATCATCTACTCATCACTAGTAATCAGGTATGCCATTTTTCATTTTCTTATAAAACTTGAAATTTGATAGCAATGATATATACTGCATATACCTCCTAACAATAATTTGTATACTTTCAAATTTATTTCTTAAAAGCTGTTATTTTATTCTTAGTCTGTATAAATGTTGCCCTTGTTTTTTGAGGACTCAGAACTTTTATTTAGACGTTCCTGGCAGGTGTAGATACTGAATAAAAAATATTAGGCTCCTTTATGCATAGAGGTTAGAATAAGGATTTGATAAAGGAATTAATAAATATGTGTGACTTGTAAAATTTCAGGGGTCACTAGTAGTTTGGGATGTAAGGACGGGAGAACCTGTGCGGGAAGTGAGGCTGGGTCACAAGGATAGTTGTATTTTCGTAAAACAAATGTTAGCGTTAAGGGATAGCGTAGTTTGCGATTTCGGACGACAGTTGCGGATAATCAGGTTCCCATTGGTCTCTGACAAGCTAGACTAAGATCTGTATATGCACGTTGTACATAGCTGTTTTGTTCTCTTCTATTCTATTCTTCTGTTTTTTTTCTTATTTAATTTTCATACTTGAGCGAGGTCTCGCGCCTCGCCTGGGAATAGAAATTTTTACACGACGTACATTTTATATTTTAAGTGATTGTACACAATTTTAATATGAATGTTTTACATAAACGACTATGTCACGGTCGCGCCTTAATATTTATACTCCATTCAGACAGTAAGTAAGTGAAATACGCTTGTCTTTGACAATGAGAAACGTATACAAGTTTTTAATCGGTTTGCGGGAGAGATTGTTCATATAAATCAGGATGCAGGATGCGGGAACGCACTGTAAAAAGAAAAAAAAACAATGGTAAACACAAAGGATAGTAACACAAGATCCAGAAAAATATTTTTAGGTAGTTCAACTCGGGTATCTCTGTTCATTGTCTTAGAAGTATGGCTGTGCTACGTTTCGAAGCATCCAATTATCGTTTCGCAGTGCGATTTAGGAGCAATTAATTTTCTATGCGACTGGTTTCGAGGCGAATCGATGTGCTTGGGTCAATTTTACGATAAGTAGAAGCTGCATTTGTTGAACCGGTGCTGTTCCATAACACGGGGGTGCTGGATTTTCACTTCTGTGTTGTAAAACCGAGTACGATAACGAAGTTAATTAACTGTGACGTGTATAAAGACGGTTTCCCGAAATCTCAATGAACAGAGAGCGCACGTGGTGTACCGGTTTATCGAGGATAAGGTAGGAAGATTGAGGGCCGCGTCCAACATACCAAGTATTTGACCTTGAAAGTTTTAAGATGAATGTTACGAAGTTTTACATTTATTGTATAGTAAAATGTCTTTGTGTATGTGTAACTTCGTTACATGTATAACGGTCTAAGAGTGCCTTTATGCAGTTTCCGTTTAGTGCAACTAAATGGGGAAGTATTGTAGCAAAGGACAATGAGACATTAAAGGAAGGGATCTCAGTCTCCTTATACGTAGGGAGTTCTATGTAACATAGGAGGAGACTCAAATTGATAGTACGCTGAATGTTAATTCATTTAGAACATTTGATCTTCAGGTATAGATGACAGAGTTAATTCAGTCTCGCCAGCAAAACTTGTTTGTACTGTTAAGTTTAACACCTACATTCAAAACTTCACCATTTTTCACCTCCTGTACTAAACGCTTAGTCTTGTTTAGCTTTAGCGGTCTATTTTTGTAAGGAGAATCGTTGCTCCAAGCCGAGCGAACTTTGGGTCCTATTTTATATGTATAATTATAGTAGAAGACTTACGAGTGTGTATAAAATACATATTTGCTTCACAACATATGATAGTTTCAACGGAGAGTAATTACATTTTGTGACACATTGAAGGATGAGTGAGTCGAAGTGTGTGCAGAGTCCATATGAGCAGCTAGTAGAGTCATTGTTGAAGAGTGTTTAATATTATGTGAAGGATTCCTAATAATTAACTGGGGTGTGTGTTCGAATGGAATTTATTAAGGTGTAAAGAGTGTTTAATCGATTCAACATTGATTACCTTGAAGATCAACGTATTATTTAATTGCATTCAAACTTTACGCTTCCAGTGATGTGATATGTGTGTATAGTAGTACGTTAAACACCTTCTAATGGAACAATGGGTTTCGTGGGGATTCATCGAAGAATGGGAAAAGTAAAATTATTGTAAATAACGTTATTTTCGTAACATGGGTCCAAAGAGTCTAAACATTTTTACACAAATATTTCCAGTTAATTTTAGGACATTCCTTCTGCGATAGAAATTTAATATGAGTGTTGCGAAATGAACTTTACAACATAGTGATCTTATACGCCTTTAGACTGAATTGTAAGACGATTTGTATCGACGAGTCTCTTTTATTTTCTGATACCCTGTTCGAAGTAACTAGTGCTCGTGATCACGATCATGATCTATTAATATATAGAAATATATATATATATGTATACACACACACATACACTTACACACACACACACATATATATATATACATATATTTTTCTTAACCAAAGTTGCAAATCATATCAGGTCGTGACACGCTCGCGCAAGTAGAAATTAATTGACAAAAGAAGTACGCATAAAAAAAATGGGAAAAAATAAGTGCTTCTGATGGCACAGCTGGTTGGCTAACAATCATTTAGGAGTCCGTGTGATTTTTATATTTATTTAATTAATTTACCAAGTGCAAATCTGTCGTACACCAGATATATCATCCTTAATAAATTCTCACATTTATTAAATTTTGATTTTATTTCTATTTTTGTGTTAACATTACGCATTTCTCTCCTCACATTTTTTCCTTGTAATGTATAAGTGAAATAAAAGAAAGAAAAATGAATTAACAAAAAAAGGGCAATAAATAGAAGTTATATTAATATTTAAATAGAGTTACTTCGGAGATACTCTATCCAATAATCTTTCTTAACTTAAATATTAAATTATTTGAAATGTTAAAGACTCCAATATTATATCAATAAAAAGGGATTATATTTTAATACTGAGACGAGATGGTGGTCTACATTAATGGAACTTTCCTGTAGACGAGGATTAGATTGTTATTAATCTGGTACGAGATAGAAAGTTAGCAGATCAATGAACAACGTTAGCAGGTGTAGTACAATTCCGTGATTAAACGGCGTGCGTAATGTCTCATGCAAATTTTAATCTCCTGTAAGACAGTAAAGTGGAGTGCGTGATCTCCAGATAATCACGTACATGACGGCATGTGCGTTTATCATCAGTACCATATTTTCTAATTAATGTTGTCCATATTGGAATCTCTAGTACATTTAGAATGATTATTTTATTAATAGAGAGTAACATAAAAATGTTAATTGAATATATAATATTTAATATACAATAATGAAATAATAAATAAATCATTAATATGCACTTATAAGTGTAGCAAGTGTTAATAGAAAATATTTATTTGTTACAACTGGTAGAAAAAATCCTAATGAATTTCAGGGGGTGAAAAGATCGAATATTTTGTCATGTTGCTTTACTATTTTAATGTCTACTTTTACTTTAATCATTAAACCCCTTATCTGGTCTGCATTACACGATGTTCGCATGGATTATTATTATAGAAATTTCCTATTCTTACAAAATCGTTATCTGATTAAATTTTTGTACTACTAGGATTTTGATATTAAGAACTAATCCCGTGTTGCATGCTTAGAAATAAATTGTGAAATATGATCAATTGACATAGCACACTTGAAAGTGATTAATCTCGTTAGACGAACAGACACAAGAATACAGGTAAGTAAGTAGTTATTCAGAGTAGACAGCATGGCTGATAAGCTCATCCATTTTATCTAAATGATGCTCGAAAGTGCAATTTTCTATGATAAAACCTCTGGACCTTTTGCAAGGAGAACTCTAATGAGAGATGTTTGTTTCAAATTTCTTCAGTTGAAACAGTTAGTTGAGTTTTTCAACCAGGTTTTCCACTATTCAAAATAACAAAAACATAATCAGTAGAATGGTAACACTGTTTGCAGCTGTTACTCCTTTTAAATAGCAAGTTCAATGGTCGACCTGACTGATTGAGTAACCTAGTGAAAGTGTTCATGTTGTGGTAAAGAGAGTGGAAACTTGGCCATAAAAATTCATGAAAAGTTACATCACTGCATTACAAGGTTTCAATTTATACGAACTATCAATCTTAATATTTGGTTTTTAAATTTTACTAATAACCGTTATTGTTATTCAAGCGATAGAAGATAAGGCTTTCAGTAACTTGTCAATAACAAACTTTTATGAAGAAGCATTATTTCAAGTAACACATGTTACTGTGAATTAACAATTACCCTATTCACAGGTACAATATTTGCATGGATAAACGTTAGTTAATAAAAACATTAGCTAAATATTAATGAAGCCTTTCCTAGGAAACCGTTTCAACCAGTTTTTATCTGATCCCAAAGTATCCGATGCAGATGTTGAAATGAAATGCTGCAACCGAATTACAATTCGATAGTATCTTTTAATTATGCAGATTAAATACACAGAGTCTCTATAATAAACAACTGTGTCAAATGAATATTTATGTTGGTCCGTGTTCAATTACCTTGTAATCCCACGAGAAGATAAGCTTCTCATAGAAGAAGATTAATTACACAGCAATTACACAGTAATTCATATCTACAATTTAAGAACATATTACTATTTTAAAAATAGGAGCAAAAGATCTTCTGTCTTTTCTAAAAGGAACATACTGAAAAGTCATGTTCATAACATATCAATAAATCTCTAACCATTAAACAGAAAAGTTTTCTCTGTGATTTACAAATCCAAAAACAATTTCTTCCAGTATCTTTTATTAATCGTGTTACTTATCACAGATATATTTTACACTTTGAAGACGTCAGTCCCTGATAACATAGATCACTGCGAAAGTTTCGGAAATCCGCTGTCATTCGGTTTGTTATTTTTGTAAAGCTTCACATTTTTAAGTTTAGAAAGTGCTGACACAAGAAAGTGGAAACTATATTTATCTTAATACAAAAATACCTGCCGTGTCAAATTGATCCACTTCAGAATTTTTATTTCGCTAGTATGTAAATTATGAAGGTGTGTTTGCGACAGATTTTCAATTGAATTTGTGTATTTGTAGAGATACAAGACTAGGCGACTCTTCGAATCTCAAGAAACGTGTTCTAATTTTTATAGAAAATTGGAAATAAGTCACTGATTGCTCGGTAGTTTTAGTGTTAAAATTCTATTATTATAATGGCTCACTGGTTTTACATTATTACTATCGTCCTATTTCATGGACAGGTCTGTCTCAGTGGGAAAAGAAACTGTTTCCAGGGAAATAAATGTTAAGACGTATCCTTCAGTTTTGTTGAATTTCGTAGTTTGCGTAATAAATAAAGTTATAGTTTCGGAAAATGTTACTGCTTAGTGGCAACTATAATGTACCACCTAATATTGTCTACAGTATAAAAGAAATATTATATGATTTCGGTGTCCTTGTTCCGCAATGATTGATACCTTGATTCAATATTCGAAATTAACACGAGAACTACGTATCAGTCAAAATGACTGGTTTCATTTTTTTATTTCACAATTATTGATATCTTTAAAGCACTGAATATTCGTAATAATTTTGAAAATAAATAGCTTCACTTGAATACTATAATAAATATCTGAAGAAATTGAAAATAATCGATTGCTACAGTGTTTATAAGGATTAGATATCAATCGTATTAAATGCTCGGTGGTTTTAATATAAATAGAATACTTCGAAAAACAATGAACACATTAGTCCTCGATCGACTTTCCCCATTCTTCCCCAAACCTTCGCATGAACCAACAAACGTCTCATTTTATTGTAACAAATAATTCATCCAAAAATTCTTAATTCCTTCGAAACGTATAGTCAAACAAAGGAATCCCTACAGTCGAATCCTTTTGCATCGAAAACTGTCCTCCACCACTGGCAAACCAGTTCCTATCCCAGCAAACTGTCTGCCGCCTTCTTGGCAACAGGGGAACACTCACACACAATACCTTTGTTCATTAATAAACGGTTTTCCACCGGTCGAACGTTATCGTTGAGTCGCAAAGAGGATTACCAGCGGCACTCTCCTCCGGCGGCTCCAAAATACGACTGCCCGCCGCGTTAGGTGTAACAGCCAAGTTGCGAAACAGAAGGGGGATCACTCGTTCATGAAACAACTCGTGCGAACGTGCCACCAACGGAGCAGGAGGAGGAGGAGAAATTAGAAGGTACGCGGCCATTCGCTTTGCTTGGTCGTTCAGTGGCTGACAATAGTCCAAAGAAGGACCACCTACTCTTTCATCCTGAGGGAAGCGAAAGAAGACCCTGCTGGTCCCATCAACATCAAGGACTTTAGCGAAGAAGACTGCAAAGAGAGACACAAGAGCAACAAAGAGGTTTCCGAGTTACAATAGCGAACAGAGGAAAGGAGGCTGCTGATAAAGACTGTATTGTTCGGCTCATTAACACTGACGTGTTTTGCATGATTCGATAGCTTCGATAGCTTCAAGGACTTGAAGGATTGCAGATTAAGATCGAAGACATGCGAGCATGGATGTTCACGGAGTCAGCTTCGTTTAATAACCGATTTCGGTTGGACTTGCTTGTACGCTGAAAAGAGGAAGTGAAGCAAGAGAAGGGAAGTGAAAACGCTGGGTAACTGCTCCGACTTTTACTGACGCTGCCAGGAACGGGTTGCTCGGTATAGAGATGGAGGTGAATGCTTTTGGGCAGAAAGAATAAAGACAAGAATGATGAGAATTGAAGATTAAGGAGGGATTTTGATTGTATGATTGGAAGGAAGATGTTGTTTGGTGAATATTGTTGAAGGTGGAAGAATATTGTAAGATCAGGGAAGCTTTTTGAAAGACTTGAGGACATTTGAGGAGATCCGAGGAATTCGCGAAGAGGGAAGGAATTGTGAATGTATTGTTAAAGGGAATTATCAAGTAGTCTTTGATTGTATTTGAAATTGGTAAAATTGAAGTTGGAATATTTAAAAGGTAGATGATGCAGGCGCGAAGCTTGTAGAGATTAAGGACAGATTCAAGTGCGGTGGACCGCATCTAATATTCCCAAAATGGCACAACACCTTTCTCCAAACGAAGAAACGAACAGGTTTGTGATTTTTATTTTTATAAACTGCTGTCGCGATTGTTAACCTCTTAACTGTCGAATTCTCTTGGTGAACAGTGTTATTCGAGACCATTAAGTCAAGTATTAGCCTTGTACCTATTTGCTTTTAAATACGAAACTGTTGCCATTCAATTCCTAGCAACAGAAGCTTTTCGTTTATGTAAGAAAACAAAACCGTACTTCAGAATTTTTAAAAATGAATGAGAATTAATATTTGTTTAATATTTTCGTGAATTTGTATATGTTACAGTTAAGGGGTTAAAACAAAACGCTGTTGTAATTTTGTTCAGTTAAAAATAGTAATTTAGAGTATGTTTGATATATTTGGTAGATAATCGAAAATTATTTAGAAAGATTATCATTACGATTGTATTATCATATGACGAGCTAATGATGTTTATGTTTCTGAAAGACACACTCGTCGCTTTATCGATGACGATTTGTTATCGAATTCCAATGCACGACACTTAGCCATCATTTTGTGAAGAAGCTGCACTGAATGTTTCACTTTTAAATTCGACAAATTTAAATGTTATTTATTTATTTTCAATATAAGTGACATATTGTTTATTATCAATCTTTAATCTATGGAGTAAACGTAGACACAGAATTAGCGTCAAATTTTTTTCTTTTTCTACTAAATTATTGACGATAAAGTAGTGTTATCGAACACAGTTATGAAAGAAATCATAAGATAAGTGGTAGTCTGATTGCAATTAGAGGAATTAATTTTTGTGTATAGTTGGTTATCGGTTGAAATAATCGTATTTTTATCACTTATCTTCGTCTACGCAGTTTGATGGTTAATCGCACTCTTAATGATGATAGCGGGAACATTTGTGCTCCAAAACTAATATTTAAAGCCAATATTTTTAGAAGGAGCGTTGACATTTAATAATGTAGTAGGAAAAAGTTATAGTTTAATAAGATGATAAGTAAATTTAAAGATAACAGCAGAAATTGATTAAGGAATTAGAAAATTTAGGATATAAAGAATGATTATTTTGCGAATATTTCACGTGTATTTATTTTCTAACAGCCTGTACTGAATTCACGAACCAAATTCGTTTCAATGATACGATCGACAACCTCGTCCTTCACGACAAATAGAAACGCGAACGATTTTTAAGAACGGAATTGTAGGAAACTTTTATTGAGAAAATTGTGACAGTCCTACTTCTAAAACGGGAAACGTAATATTTCTAAACTTATCATACGGTTTTACATAATAGCGTTTCGTGCACTATATTTCACTCTTAGGAATCAATATCACAATCTAACAGAATTTGTTGTAAGTGGAGTTTGAAAAATTAGAAATAATAAGTGTCGATAACGTTAAAAAAAGTGTTAAGAGTTTAAAATTACGGTAATATAAAATTGTAAAACTTTGAAAGTTCAGAATTTCAAAGAATTTGAAGGTTCAAAATTTAAACAAATTTTTTAAATTCAATACTTAAAATTCCCATAAAATACAAATCTCCAAATGCATAGGAATGTTTGAAAACCATGGAAATTGATGAATTATTAATTATTTAATATGAATTAATTAATATTAGTGAATCATATTAATCAATTCATTACATAGCTATGAAAATTATCTTGAGATTCAAAATATCAGGTTTAGAGGAGTTGAAAATTGAAATGATAAAACGCCAATTAAAATATCGAGGTAGTTCGATAATGTAAAAGTTCAAAAGTTTAAAAATGAATACATTTGAAAATTTTTAAATTCATGTGTTCGAAAATTCATAAGTTTAAACATTTTTTAATTTATATCTTCGAAAATCCATAAGTTTAAAAATTGTTGTGTTTGAACATTTATAAACGAAATCTGAAAGAAACGAGTTTCACTGCAGAAACGTCTCTGGCTCGGTATACGGAAACACAGAGTGCATTTTTCCTAGTGAATGTCTACGTGTAGTTGTAGACCTTGACAACGTGTTTCAAACATCCATGTTGCATCTCGTTTAGATATCGCAAAACTTGTTGCATGCAACGTCTTGCATGCGATGTATTTATCAGTATTATGCATCCGCATTGATTCGTCTGCATGCAAGTATGTATGCGGAAGAGATAACGAGTTCGTCGAACTACCAACAATTAAATAGAAGTGCTAACCTTGATCTTGAAACAATCAAGATAAATGTTTTAATGAATATAAACATGATTAAATTGTGTAGAAGTGTACAATTGGTGCAACTACAAGAAAAGTGTGATCAACAGAGTTGTCAAGTAAAGTTAGAGATTTTGAACTTCAATTTCTGTATTTCTAATTATTTACAAATCCAACTCTTTACTTTTGAACTGTCTCCAAACACCTGTGTCTCGATAATCTATGGATTTTTAAGTGTATAAATTTTTTAATTTTTAAATTACCAAACATATAAACTGTTTAATTTCTGAATTTTTTTATATTTGAATTTAAACATCTTTTAATCTGAAAATTTTTCAATTTTAATATATTTGAATTTGTAAATTTTATTTTCAATTTTTAAACACTTGAATTCGAAAGATTTCTCATTTTGGAATTTGAAAATTTATCGTTTTTAAATTTCTGGATCTTCAGAACTCTCCACCTCCCAGAATCCATATCCCCACCTCAGAATTACATTGTTCAAATCCTCCACGAGGAATCAATGGAATGTCGTTTAGCTTCAAAATTACATCACAGTAGTGTTAGTTGCTTATCAACCGCTTATTTCGCGACGTGATAAGCTCTAGCAATGACATAGAATTAGCGTAGCAATGTTTGCACGGTATTCGAGACGCTAATCGAGGAAGCAGCCATTTGAAGCTTCGTTTGAACGTTTAATCAGCCAGTAAAGACGTACATTTCGACGGTCGTGTTTCACCGGCAATTATTCAAACCATTTGTATCATCTTCCACAATGTCCAATGACGACACATTAATCTTCACGTCAGTCACGGAAAAACTTTTCAATCACGCAGAGCTACCGTGACTCTTGATTCAAACAAATCATTAAACAAGCTACATTAAAATTATAATTTATTTCTCACGGAAGATTCTAACATTTTTTTCCTTAATTACACGTTGCGTGGATTCTCCGTTAACAATCCACGAAACGTTGAATTGCTGCTAAAAAACAGTGATGGCAATGAATTACTGTCTGATAAAATTAGGACCTTGACTATCGGTGTATTTAAGATGTGATAATGACGGTTATTAAAAATGACCTCATTTTGGTTATACAAAGAAAAAGTGACAGATGTTTACGAAGTATATATATTATACATATATTTTAATGTAAAATTCATAATCTATGTATCGCTTATTATTTCTGTAGCCAAAATTAAAAGGAAGAATTGCAAATTATTTGGTATCAGAATTCTTACGTTACACTAGTGTCTAATTATTTACATTATGAAACATTTGTATTCGACTGTGGGTAGTAGGGTGCGAAATGACTGACTAGTCTTTAACGAAAACTCTTATTTATTAATCAACACTTATAAGATACGCGGAAAGATTTCCGTCTGACCTAGCGCCAGAAAGAACGGACGTGGTGTGTGTCGTGGCTATCACGGCGGCTTCCATTTAACGTCGCTTCACCCCCACATCTTTGTCCGCAGACAAAGATATGGGGTACATGGAAATTCCCATGATTCCGTTCGGAAAAAGGGAGGTTTTCCCCCACGTGCGGAGCTAGGTAGTTTGTTTGTTTCATCGCCTGTTTTAGGGCTCAACAATTTAACGTACCCGCGCGGGTCTGCAACGCTGATGTTTGCTTACCCGCGCTACCTGGGCTAGAGCATCCGCACGGCAAGAAAACCTTTCCTGTGTCCCGTTATGCCGCCACATCGACATTAGTTGTTTTTTCATAAGTTATAATTATTTTCGTGTAATTTGGATGCTACGGTCATCGGTGACTCCCGTGCAAGTCAACGTGCTAAAAAATTACTATTGAACGCGACAAATGTTTTGTTTTCAGTTACATCATTATTATATTGTACTCTCATTGTAATACCTATTGTTAGAAACATTCAAAAGTGCGCATCGAACTTCAGAAGATTCATTGTTTGCTTTATGAGTCGATATCAATTTTGTTTCGCTTGATATCGTTTTTAGTTAAAATGTAATTTATTTGTTCCAAAATGTTTATTTCTCTTAATATGATTAATAAATTATTTAATAAAATTATTATTTAATAAAATCATGATTCAGTTATAATGATAAATAAAGTTTATTTAACACTAACCGTACCGGAATTTTGTATATACCTACTAATACTGTAACCAGTCAGATAACTGGCTACAAAATAAAGGTAAACAAGTTCGATGACATATTTTTCTTAGTGTAAATAGAAACAAAGAAAGAGATAAAAATTTTGAAAAAACTGTTTAATTGGGCAATATTGGAATTGATATAAAGTTAAGTGAACGAAAGAAAACGCAGAGTTTTAAATCCAATTTTAAAACCAGTTCGCGGTACGGTTAGTATTAAGAAAATACTTGGTTTCATCGACTATAAACGCGTCAAGATGAACCAAATTCTGCGTAGCTTGTGTAAAACTATAATAACAACAATTTACAGTCTCTTTATCAAGGATTCTGCCCATTATCTGGGGAAGTTCCCACGAATAATGGATTTAGAGGTAATGTAGGATTATCGCGATGAGTGACAACGACCGCCTCTATTGAACTTAAGATATCGTTTCCAACGATATTGCTAGACTACGTTTGCTTTGGCTTAATTTCTTAGGCGACTTGCTGCTTTCAAGTTTTGTCTGTGACGCACTCATTCCGTTTTGAATGACGTTCCAATATAAATACTGACTTTTAAGTACTTACTGCATTGCTATCAGTTAACGTCCTGTCAGATAATATTTAAGAATTGATTCCATGTGTAATAATATTTATTGTTTGCCTCACTGTCTCATTCAGCTTATTTGAATTCAGCATTCTTGATACATTCATCAGTTTCTTTTGTACTGTAGTCATCCCTTTACTTGACTATTAACGCTAGAACTACCGTACCAATAAAAATGGCTGGTTTCGGTTTTTTTTTGTTTCGCAATTATTAATATCTAAAAAGCATTGAATATTCGAAATGATTTTGAAAATAAATAGTTCCACTTGAATATTATAATGAATGCTTTTCAAAGAACCGTAAATAATCTGTTGTTACAATTTTTGTAAGATTATACAATTATATTAAATGCTCGGTAATTCTAGTGTTAATTGTGGAGGAATTATGAATTTTTTCTGTGAACTACCTGTTATAACAGAATGAAAAGTTAAGACAGACACTCTGCTCAAAATAAAAGTAATAGAAAAGCATATGTGCTGGGTCAGATTATAATTTTGATAAGCATACAGTTCTGTATATGTATGTGAATATCTTCATGACAGCTTCATATTCTATCTTCAGTTTATCTTTATTATCCCAGCTTATTTCTTGTTAGACATTGTCTATTTTTCTTACTTATGACAGCTGGAAATTTTTATGCTCCTGTTGATAATGGGTTATATAGGACTTATAAGTATATTGGTGAAAGCACGAACAACTGACAATAGACTGTATAAGGAATTGCTTGTATGTAACTTATGATATATGTAGGGTACAGTTACACAATATTGTGTAAGAATAAGATACTGAAATCTCTGTTCAAAGATAGTATTTAATTCCTGATAGTTTTTCTAATTGAGTTTATTTAGGTATTAGATGATGCAATACACTGTAAACGCGTTTAAAAAAGATATTAAAGAAATATTGCACGAATGATCCACTCCATTGCTGACTAATACATTTGTTTTAAGTATTACATGATACAGGTGAAGGGAAGGAATATTAATATTCTGAAACACATATCTACACTCACTTTGATTTGAACAATTTATGACAGATGCTGATGATATTAACATTTCTTATTGGAATGTTTCCTTTTCAAGTTGTATTATCTATTTTCTAAGTTAACAACTACATACTTTTAGGTTAAGGCGTCATTAACAATAAAGGAAAGAGACCAGTTACTTAATAAGTATCAGATTGCCATTCCGTATTAAATTACTACAAGCTATTTAATGTCAACTATAATAGGAGAATAGGAGTTAAAGTAATGGCAATAATAATGTTAGACAATCATTCTAGCAGTGTCTCATAATGGCAAATATGGTACCAATGAAAGTCAATTTCTTCCCTTATATAAAATACCAAATCAGAGCACTTGAATATCGTTTCAAATGTGACCAAAGAAATCTTGAAATGCTGCAGAACAAACAATTGTTTATGAGAATAAGAATTATTGTACGTAGAAGCCTGCTACGTTAATAAATATTTCTAATTAAAAAAGTATATTACCAAATATATTTGAACTTGATTAACATCTTTCCACTACATTCCATTTAATATTCACTGCAAATGCATAAACATCCACAGTCTACTAATGAAAAATAATGAACCAATAACATTTTTTATTTCTTTTCTTCTTGAACCAATGCATCCTATTAAATGTATTTAATCCATAGTTTACAGAAGACTATACCCACGTATCTCAAACATTCCAAGCTTATTTATTATCTATAACTCAAATGCTAAATATACTGAAATCTTTTCTTGAAACTTCATCCGATTAACCACCATATTTACTCGTAAATAATCATGCTTAGTATGTACCACGTCTAAAAACAAAAATAACACAATTCAAGGGACAAAGTATTGAAACCATAATTCCTATTTTATTTGCACAAGGTTGCCAAAAATTTGGTACCAGAGGGTGCACATTGGAAAGCAGCTCTCTCCGAGATAAGTGCACGACTCTATACATCTGAATCGCTGTCGTCCGTCGCGTATTAACGGATTAACCGGAATAACGTCCATCGACAGCTTGTTACCACCTTATCGCGTCGCATCCGCTCTAATCCCAAGATGAGTGCATTTGTTTCTAGCATTCCTGTTTCCTTACTGCTCAAAAGAATCACTTTTATAGACGATCTGCTTGCGGAATCCATTCGCCGTAACTCCTGGAACCGATAAGGCGTGGGATTAGACGCGTCTTGACAGTGGCTTAACACTTTTCGCGTGGCAGCATCATGATTGGGTGAAATAGCACAGCGCGTTGAAGGGATTCTATAAATTGAGAGGCCGTGGTGAATGAGGAAGAGAGTTGTTCAGTGTTTAGCGTCAAGGAAGTCGCTTCTTGTTCGATGCGAAGTGTAATGAAGTAGGTTTAGGAGTTTACAAGTTTAATACCTCAGTCTGTGCTCTCAAATAAGTGTAAAAATTTATGGTTAACACTAAAACTACCGCACAGGTCGAAATGACTCATTCTTGACTTCTTCTTTTTGCAATTATTAACACTAGAACTAACAAATGAGTCAAAATGACCCATTCCTATATTTTTCTCTCGCAATTATCGAAAAGGAACGGATGCTTTTCTGGGAAATGAGTTAAGAAATTAGTTTAAAAATACGCAAACTAAATTATAAATCGATTGCAACCCCAATAGACGTCATGTTGGAGTTTCCATAGAAAAATTAGAAAATCTAATTTAATTACTCGGTAGTTCTAATGTTGAAATGGTAACAGATGTTTCTCTGAGAAATTATTAAAGAGATTGGTGTAGCAATGTGCAAACTGAATTAAGAATCAATTTAAGTCTGAATAGATACGCTCTTGGTGTTTCTATGGAGGAATTTCGAAAAGGCAATTTAACTGGTCGGTAGTTATAGTGTTAAACATCTATTGAAATAATTGTTTGCTCTAGATGTTTCTTCCGTTAATAATGTCATTTATAGTTTAATGCTTTCATTGGACTTTGTTTGATATTCGTCGAGGCAAGTGGAAAGATAAGTTAGTTAAAAATTATTAAGCTGGAAAATACCATTTTTTTACTGTGCGCAGAAGAAACAAGTTTTCGTGTAGCGGAAATAGGTTCGCGAAGATCGGCACGCTGAATTACGCAAACTCGGGAGAACGTGTACCGATGTTTGCGTAATCGCGGCAGATTGAAGCGAAGGACCCTTTCACGCCGAAAGGATCTGTGTCAATGACAGGAATCGCAACAGTTGACCGCGTACAAATTACTGATGCGCTCGACTCATCTTGTCAGTTGAAATTTCATTCTGTTTTGAAGTATTCGCTGTTTACTCGATCGATTTGCGTTGGAAGAGACGTTGAAAATTGTTAGAGAATCTTTACTGATTACTTCCAGCTCTTGTAGGATAGGAAGACTACTGTTACCATTTTCATCGGTGTCTTTGTTTTCTTCTTTTTCTCGTCTAGTATTTTCCCTTGTTTTTCTGTAGTACTTTCAGTTTCTTTTTCGTGTTCTTCAATATCTTAGCTTTCTTCTTTCTTCTGCCTCTTTCTCTTCTTCATTTTTAGTGTTTTTGCTTTCTTCTCTCTGCTGCTCTCTCTTGTTTTCAGTGTCTTTGAATTTCTCTTCTCCTTGCCCCTTTTTCTTCAGTTTCTTCACATTTCTTTCTATTTCTTCTTCTATTTGTTTGCATTTCTTCTTTCTACTTCTCCAGTTTCTTCGCGTTTCTTCGGTTTCTACGCATTTCCTTCTACTTCTTCAGTTTCTTCGCATTTATTCCATCTGTTTCTTCCATCCCTTCAATGCCACCGGTTCCTTCTTCTGCCCCTTGAAAGACAGATTCCATTTGCATTTCAGGAATGGAGAGAAAAGCCTACCATCAGAGCAAAACGGCAACGTGGAGGTGTATTCCGTATCAAAGTTCCGCCAAGCACTGCCACAATGTTTCGCAGTCTGCGCGAAGAATCTCCTGATGCTCACGTTCGGCTCCACACTAGGATTCTCCACAATTCTGATCCCTGAGTTGAAAAAGGAGAACTCGGAAATCCCCGTTACCATGGAAGAGCTGACATGGATCAGTGAGTCACCTTGGCAACTATGTTTCGTAACAAATAAGGATATTTGTTACGAAATCGTTCGATCGTCGTGTAATAAGACAATTGATTGACACCTGGGACATCATTTTTTCCAGGTAGTTTGAATCTCTTCTTGGTACCGATTGGTTGCTTCGTTAGCGGGCCGGTGTCGCAGTATCTCGGTCGAAAGAGGACAATGATGCTGATCAACATTCCATTCATAATAGCGTGGATCATTTTCCATTATGCTACAAACGCTGCGATGTTGTTCACTGCGTTGGCCTTGACAGGATTGACTGGTGGCCTTCTGGAGGCACCTGTGATGACCTACGTGGCCGAGGTGACGCAGCCTCACCTGCGTGGCATGTTGTCTGCTACCTCGAGCATGTCCGTCATTTTAGGCATCTTCACTCAAATGTTAGGTGGAAAGTTGACCACTTGGAGAACTGTGGCCTTGATTAATATAGTCTACCCTGTGATTTGCTTCATGGCTCTTTGCGTGGTCCCGGAGAGCCCACACTGGCTTGCTGGTGAGCTGTGTTGTGTTGTTGGTAGTGGTAGGCTAGGTCTAGGTGATTTAACTGCTCGATTGGTTGCATTTAGAATACAATACAGATTAAACCTGTGTGATCAGAAAAATACTTATCTTGTTTCTTATCACAGTTAGACTGAATTATAAGGAAATCATGAACACTTTTGTCTCAGAAATTTTAGTACAAATTTATTGGAATTCAGAATAAGAAACTGTTATACTGATTTACCCTTTTAGGAGTTAAATAAAATAAGAAACAAATTATTTGCAAATGTAGCCAAATATTATTGGACTTATCACTGCAAAATAAGGTTATTAATAACTTAGGTCTGATTGGTTTATATATCGTATAGATCCCATGCTAAATTATATATTCCAGCAAAAGGTAGATTGAAGAAAGCTGAAGACGCTCTCTGCTGGCTCAGAGGGTGGGTAGGTCCGGCTGAAGTGAAATCAGAGTTCGATATCGTCTGCCAGGAAGTTCACAAGCCAGCAGAGTCACGAGAAAAGATCTGGCGCGATTTTAGTAAAAGGACTTTTTACATGCCTTTCCTGTTGGTCACCTGGGCATTCTTTGTTGGGTCATTCGGTGGCACAATAACCATGCAAACCTTTGCAGTGGTTGTTTTTGAAAGACTGAACGCACCCATCGAGCAGTACACAGCTGCAGTGTTCCTTGGTCTGGCACAGTTTGTGGGTACTTTGATCTGCGTGTTCGCTATTCATTTTACTGGAAAACGGAAACTGAATTTCGTGTCTATTGCTGGCACTGCCTTTTGCTTCTGTGGGGCAGGTATCTATGGATACTTAAACGATAGCCATGTGATTAATGGAGGAAACTACAGCTGGCTGCCGACTACCTTGATGATTGGTGCAGCCTTCCTATCCCATACTGGGATTCGGTTGTTACCTTGGGTCCTTGCTGGTGAGGTGTTCCCTGTGAAGGTAATTTTGTACTTCTAATCTACATTTTGTCACACCTATAAGTACCATTGTGTTATCTATGCTGTTCCATTTGTCTCATTTAGTGTTAGTTACTTTAGCAGTAGCTGAGAAGCCTTCATATCTCATTACATATTGTGATATGTAATTTATATACTCCTAGATAGTGAAAATCCTATATTGAACACTTCCTTTTATTATTAAATTGGCCAGGAGGTGTTTTAAGAGGCCACAGCCAAACCATAGACTTCCTTGAATGTTAATTAGGTACGGAGCAGCGGAACAGGGATTGCTGGTTCGATTGGTTACATATTCAACTCTATAGCCAACAAGATCTTCCTTTACATGATGGATGGGATGACCCTTGCTGGCACTTTCTTCTTCTATGGACTGATAAACATTCTGGGTGGTGTTGTACTCTACTTCATGCTGCCAGAAACGGAGGGCAGGACTCTCAAGGAGATAGAGGATCACTATGCTGGTGTACAAAGTTTAAAGCACAAACCAAAAAAGGAGTCTATACCAATTAAAGAAAAGTGGGCAGCGTCGAATCCAGTTGTGATTTGTGATGACAATGAGAGTAAACTGTGAACTGAAGAAAACTAGGTTAGAGACTGTGTTAGGATTGTTGGCTCAGTCAATGGCCTTGAATGACTATAAAGACAGAATGTAACTGTAATTATCTGACTTGACGTTCCTTGATTTCATTTCAGAAGATTGTTAAGTTTAAAAATATTTTTATAGGAACATCTGATGTAAAATTCTCTTACAAGTAACTTAAGTGAAGCTGCACAAAGGAAGAAATAGATACAAATAATAGCTACGTTACAAATAGAAAATACCAGAAAGTATTTTTTATACCGCAAATAGACATTTTTCATAAGATTCTCAGTCGTTACCTTTGTAAAATAAAGTGTAATATATATACAAGAAAAAGTACGATTTTAATAGTGGTAGATAGAAACAAATGGTAATGAGGGAAGTTGAAGATTATTTTCTTTAACAGGTAATTACATTTATTTGTACATTTACAAATTTGTTCGTGACAAATTACAATTTAGGAGGTTTTAAATTCTCTTGCGGAGCTGACGCTTTTTTCGTGAGAAGCTTTTAATCGCGTTTGACTTCTTCCCTTGTGACTTCTTTCGCAATTGATTGTTCACGCCGGGCTTGAAGTATTGATCGACCACTTTCAGGAAGTTTTCGTGCTGTAGTATGTCCACAAGGTTGACAATGTTCTCCGGCACTTGTGGTAACTTTAGGCTTCGCCTCTTGATCCTGTTAACTCTTCTTCTTCTCCTTTTTTTCGCTGGCCCGTCTACGCTTCGACATTTCCTCAAGCTGGAAGAAATGTTACACAAATTAACGAAAATATGAAAACAGAAAAGTGGACTCGAAATTTAATATTTGACAAAATTTATTGAAAACTTAAATCCACAAGATTGTTGTACAGATTTTAATTAACACTAACTTGAGATTTACTCTCTTGATTCTACACCCAGATTGCGATCGCTTCGCAGGATGGTCCTCACAAGTAGCCTCCGGTTCTAACACTTGCTTCTCTTTAATGTAGCTGTTTATTCCTATACGAAGATTATTGTATGACATAGTTAAAAGACTAATTTTGCATCCACGCTAATCATAACATCAACGATAATATCCCGGGAATTTAACACGCGACCAAGAACCCACCAAACAAACAGAAACGAAACGAAATGAGTTTCAAACGCGGATAATTTCAAATCCTTAGTAACATGTGCTGTTTAACCCCTTGCCATATAAAATCGAGTCAGACTCGTGAGGAAGTTCCGGATCGGACGTTATAAAAATCATACTCGATTATATTGGGTGAAAATTAAATACTGTTTTAAATATTGTTATGCTTTGAGTTAAAAGTAAACATAGATGAATTAAGGATTTCCCTTTGTTTTCTAGTAATTTATTGATGACAAAGTCATCGTAGTGACCATAGTTGCGAAAGAACTCATAGAACAAGGAGTTAAATGTAATTTTCAAGTGTCAAAACCTTCCCCTGCAAACACTCTAATTCCAAAATACCTGAAAACCCACGTTCCTCTAACACAGTCTCGCTTTACTTTCAATTCACAAAGGCAACAAATATCCACAAAACCTTTAATCTATTTACAACTACTACAATTTGCATAATCCGTTGTACTAGAAATCCCGAATTGACAATTGGTAATTTATCGACGCCCAATAAAGCAGATCCCTGTCACGAATGTTCCCAGCGGCTCGTGCATAGTCGTAGGCAACGTCAGTATCTGGGATCAACAAGTGTCCCCGAGCAAAGATTCGTTCCTGATGGCGGCATATTGATGTCGGCCGGGTTGCGGCGGGCGCAGGCGCGGCCTTCCTCGGGATTGGCCCGAGGACGGGCGGGGGTCCACGAAATGGTCGATATTTTAGCTATAGCGGGGGTTACAGTGGCGCGAGGCTTTACCGAGGCCAGTCCAGTCTCTTTAAAGTCGTCGCGAAACAACCCCCGGTGCTGCGCGTTGTAACGTCGGGTGATCGTTTCTCTGGGATCGTGTACCTCCACCTGGGGACACGATATTTCGTCGAGCGGTGGTGCAGGGGCCGGGAAGTGAAGCTCTCGCGCGGTGTGCATCCCCTCATTCGCTGATCGGTCGTGAGAGGATCATCTTTCACAGGAGGTACAAGTCGTTGACGACTCGTCGGACGGGAACGAGATGGACTCGCGTCCAGTGTGGGTGCACACAGGATCACCCAGAGCACCGCGACTTTCGAGCCTGAACATTTCTGTCCGACCAGCCAGTCCGTCGATAGACTGCTTATTGATTTCTCTCTGTTCTCCCTCTCTGTCTCTATCGCGCTCTCTGTCTCTCTTTCTCTATCTCTGTATCTCTCTCCACCTCTTTCTCTTCCTCTCTCTTCCTCTTTCTCTTCCTCTCTCTTTCTCTCTCTCTCTCTCTCTCTCTCTCTCTCTCTCTCTCTCTCTTTTTCTCTTTCTCTTTCTCTCTCTCTTACTCTCTGGCTCGCTTTTCCTCTCTAGCGCTGGAGAACCGTGGCTGAACTACCCACGCAGTTTTCCTCTCCCAGTGTTCCTGGGTTAGCTAATTCCCCGGGGATTCCCTCGGCAACCTTGCCAGAGGGATGTCCCTGTTGGACACGTCCAACTGTTAGAGGTACATGGTGCCAGTCTGAGTGAATTATTCAGACTCCCGGGTGAAATTGGGGCTACTGGGATCAGCTATGGTTGTCTGGGTCCACTTTAGGGTAGCATTCGCAGAAACGCTTGTCTATGGTTAAGAGGTTTGTTCTTTTTATCTCTCTAATTTGTTGGGGAGTTTTCCTCCTGAACGCGTGCCAGCTGTAGACGGAATCGGTTATTAGATGGACAAAGTGTGGCTTGCACGGAAATCGACTTTTGCCGAACCATTGGCGTAGGCGTTAAATATTTATCAGCCGAGCGCCGATATCGTGGCATCAAGCGTTATCGATTCGGACGAGTTTTCGGGATCCAGATTCGAGCGTCACGGTGTGCTTATACAGAGGCTCCATCTTCCGTCTACGCTCATTTCGCCAGCCACTGAAATCGAAACTATGTAACGCGCGGCGTGGGCGGTCAGGGGTTAGGAATCGATCTTCCGAAAATATTTGCTGTGCTGCCTGCCCCCTTCTCACGCCACCGCCGCTTTCCACCCCTCCCACTTGCTCCTTAATCAACCGCCATCCCCCGTCTGGGGCGAAACATAATCGACTAGCATGGGGGATTCACTTTTCTCAATGACGTTTCCGCCATTTTCACTGATACTCTCCGCTTGGCTCGCTGGCTGATCTGCTGGGACTTTCTATAGGGCACTCCTCTACGATTTTCAAAGGGTTAGGGGATGCAAGTGGTTGGAGAAGTTAATGGGGCAATAAGGGGTTGTTTTGGCAGCCAGAAAGTCTGGGATCGGGAATCCCCTTTTCAGGATGCAGTGCTGTGAAGTATGAGTTGGTCTAGAATTGGGTTACATATGGAAATTGCTCTATATATGGTGTATAGGTATTCGATTGTTAAATAAAAGCTTTGTTTTTAATTGTATGGTGATGTATTGGTGAATTATGTCTAGATATCTGAGTATTTCGAATTAAATTTCTTATGTGCAATATTTAAGCTATATGGGTAACAAGTTCCTTTTAAATGGGAATATAGTAAATACTATGGTTTCCAAGAAGCTTATATGCTCAAAAATTGAGATTCTTCTTTCTTTGAAATTATGATACTACAGTATGTGTGTTTAGTATATGTTACAGCCGCGTTTAATCTAGAATCATCTAGTACTTTAGTATTATAATTAGCTCTGTACATTCTTATTAATTATTCATATGTATTATCATATAAATTGCATTACACAGGACTAATAAATGAAAATAGAAGCGAGACGGAAGTTCAGTAACTTAATAAACATGTTTATTAGTCAAAGAAGAATATTAAATCTCTGTTCAACTCTATTAAAAGTTTTATTCTGCTGAACTTCATTCACAAGCATACACAGGTGCACAAAGTTTTACAGTCGAGTATATCACAATTACAAGTGGTAATAAAAACTTATGAGACATATGCTCAATAAAGTCTCCTTTATCAATTACGCTTCTAAAACAATGATGTTTTTTCACCATTAGTGACAAATTAGTAACTTCGTACAGCAAAACTGATATAGGTTATGATTTCAGTCCCGAACACTTCCATCTTGTGTAAGATTTAATGCTTCATGCGTGTTCTACAGAATGGACCATTCCTAACTCTCACTCCTCCCTTTCTCATGCTTGTAGGTTCCAAATAATCATTATTCTCCTTGCCGGTGTTTCCGTGTTAGAAAATTCCGCACAAAGCTGCATCGTTGTGCTAAAGATGCAATTGTATGCAGCACGTCAACGTTAACATATGGGCGGCGGTGTGATTACTGCGAACCTTGTCCCACTTTCTTTCTCCACAGCGTTCGGAGTGCTGTGCGTAGGCAGCTGACACATTTTTCCACGGTGAAAAACCATTTCCCAGAGTTTCAGCAGGTTATCGAACTTCCGGTGTTTTCGTGCCGATCCACCGGACCCTCGTAAACCGGATTTTTTGGAATCGTGTCAAACAGCTCGCTCGTGAACCGTGCCCTCGTTGCTGGTAGCTTTTGGCAACGAGTATTGTTCCATTTTAGGATCTAAAAACCACAGCTCCTTTTAATTTCAATAAAGGAATGGAAATTAATTTGAATTATATATTCCTAATGCTTCTGCCTCAGACAAATGACTAATTTCACTAAAATATCATTACTTGGAGTTTAATTGAAATATTCAAATGGAACCATTCTATCCTTCATTCACTTGTTTATTGATTAATATTATATAAATATTTATTTTTCATTGAACTATTCACAGAATTAATAGAACATGAATAATTTCTTAAAAATATATGATTATTTAATAAAAAATTTCATAAAAATATATGATTATTTAATAGAGTTTCATATATACTTTATGTTCATGTCTTCACGATCACGTTAGAAGCGAAGTGCGAAGAAATGGTTCCAACATTACGGCAGGATTTATTGCGCACTCGACGCGTTGATAAGTCGATTGGTTTTTAGCGGGATGGAGGACCTTTTAATTTCTTCTCGTTCGACGAGCATCCTAGAAATAAGTGAGGTAGAAATGATAGAACTTGAAAATCTGAGGAAACTCTGGAGTTGCCGCTGCGACTCGAGCATGAAATCGATAAGAACCTCCCACCCCGTCTAAAAAGTTCACAGTGTCTGTGCCTCAGCGTCGTTTATTTATAGTCTTCTCTGCTGGAACACATTTTTAGGCGTAACTGCACTTATGCCTTCGGTTCATCCTATGCACCTATCGCTCCCTTATGATCGTTTTCTCGCGGATTTCACAATGTTATTAATTACAAGCGACCGTGACGCATTTCGAGTTACAGTTCTTGATGCATATGCACGTGCAAGAGTGTCTGGCAAGGGTTTCAGGATAATGAAGACGTCCTGGAAACATATTTGCTCGGAACAGTTTTGTTAAGAGGATAATTAGAAACGGTGTGGTCGCAGTTGCTGTTTACTTCCATCCATTTAGATGCACTTGTACCAAGTTCCAGTCATCTCATACAATTCCAACAGTGGAAACTTCGAAGTCCTTTATTCAGTTGAATAAATGGATGCACTTCAATATTCTGAGCCTAGATGGAGCTCTCTGTTGGTTATTAAGTTTGAAGTTATGTAATCAGATACTTTGTAATAAATGAAGTTGTAGCTGCGGTTCCACTTTCCAGGCAACAAAATCCTCTGTTGCAGCAGCGCATAATGCGGACGGAATTTAATCTACAATTATGATCACCAATACCGTTACTGCCTCCAGTTTTCCATATTAATTGCTTTTAGGAAGTTTCAATTAGCAAACAGGGTTGCCACTGGTTTACACAGTAGGTTATTACAGTTTTTTAGTTCTTTGCTCCAATTAAATTTGCCATATTCAATTATCCAAGGCAGTTATTAAATTTACTTGTACAATCTATTCAACTACACAACTTCCAGTTAGCCTGAACGTTTTTAATTAAAACTTTGATATGCATGTAGCCAATCCTGTGTGATTGTGCTGCACGTATAAACCTGAGCTATTCATTTTAGCTGGAATGGCAATTTTCGGCCAGCAGATTCCACTGTAATCACAAGTTGCAATAATCTGAATCACTTGCAATTAGAACCTGCAATTACCTGGCACTGTGGTCATTGCAGCCATCAATTATTTAATGGTATTACAACCGCAGCTTGCAATTATTGGTTCAGCTGCAGCCACGTGCAGCACTGGCCAAGTTTACTTACTGTTGTGCTCGCCAGAGCGCACACTTTCAAACAAATTTATTCCATGTGGGTCTGCGATATCTATAGCCGCACCTGCTGTCCGGAAAAAGTCATGGACACGTTCCTCGTATCATTTAGGAAGTACTAAGTGATTACCAATGACCGATTATGGCAGAAGTACTGCGGGTTGAACGAGAATTAGCGTGAAGTATTCAGCTTGAAGCATAGAGAGAAACGTGAAAACATGGCAAGGGGGAATGAAAGGGGAATTGAAACTCCGCAACAGAAGCATAAGAGTATTTGTACAAATGCAACTGATATTGAAGTCTCAAGAGAGGAGTGAACGAAATGTCAGACAGCTTTACATTGAAATTGTTTCAATGGATAAAAACATAATCCCCTGACTGAGTATCACATTAAATGCTATTCCACTTTGCATTTTCCTTTGCATATGCTTCGTCTGTTTCATGTATTCAGTCCTGTATATGTAAGCTTGATGTTTCTTTCTTATTAATGTGCCGAGTTTGATCAGAAAGGTAAATGGTACACTGATTCCATACAATGCTGCTTTGATTCCATCAGCCATCACTGAAATTGCATCGGATGACTGGATCGAATCATACCAAACAATGCTCCAAATTGTTCGGTGCAGTTTAGTTGGAAACTTGTTACCATCATTTGATTAAAGATAACTAAATTAAGGGATTGAATTGCGGAATTAGTGAAACTGGGAATGATTATAGCTGTAATCATATTAGACAGACAGACTGCATTATACTTCAGTGTGTCTAGTAGTTTACTGCAATTGCATCAGACTGTTGATAGAATCGAATATAATAGAGCTAAGGATATAGTCACTGTAATTAGGAGTCAAGAACTCCAATTAAAAATATACACAAATTAATCCCCATTGTATTAGTTATTACAGAAATATCTTTAGAATCTTCATAGAAAAAATGAAACCATAAATATTCTTTCATTAATCACTGTGAAAAATAAACATTAGCCCAATCAGTACAAAGACAGTACCTCACAGAAAACAAAGTCAATTACCAGTAATAATTTATTAATCGCCCGTAATAAATATAGATCATTCAAATTCGTTCTTACCTCAATACCACAGACAATAACAATAAGTATCAAACATTACAAATACTATCTAACATAAAGAATAAATATCCAGCACAGAAATATCAACAAAACTTCAACATTATAAAACTTAGACTACAAAATATCAGATTATCTCTCCCTATAATGAGTACCATTTCCCAAACCTAACATCTACCAAAGAAGTCACAGAAAAAGACAAAAGAACCAGCTAAAATAATTCTAGCCCAGTGACCTTCCTCAGCGCCATACTTCAATCATGCCGGCTTGAACACGTGTATCGGTATCAAGAAACCGCGATACCGTTTCAACGACGAAACGACCGGACGCGGAAATTAACGAAAGCGATACCGCGGGCTAGTCGAAGATTAACGATACTCATTCGAAACGAAGCCAGTGGTTCGCGTTCGGTTCCTGGCGATCGTTCACCGAACTCAGGGTGTACACGGACCCCATAAAAAATTCGATCATCCGTTGCAAAACCAGGCAGCGCAGTTTTTTCATTGAAGATCAAAGAAAACAGGGAGAGGAAATTTAGTTAGAAAATGCAGCGAAAGCAGAAAAGTGAGACCGGAAATGGGTGTACGATGGCCGTGAGGGATTCCGCGCTGGAGCTGCGGACAAGGATGGCTCGGCTGATGTCCATCGTCGAGATTGCACCGCGGCGCAGGCTTCCGGTACCGACATGTGTTCATTTCCTGGTTGTAGCCGCGTTGTTTCCATTCCATTCGGAATAGTATTCGCTGCGCTGGGTACGCGCACGGTTCGAGTGTCTGAGGGCGTCCGGTTCATGGGAAAGTAATGGCTGAGCCGTTCGTTTGAAATCGTTTGGAAGTGTTAACCCTTTTTACCTGTATGAGGTACATTCTGGGTGGTTGAGTTTGTGTTTTGTGTTTGGTATTATTGATGAGTTTGGTTTGAGATTGTTATTGTAGTTTTGGGGTGATCAGTAGTAAGTGATAATTAATGATCGATGGTAATAATATGAATAATTGATATTGAAGGATTTTTTGGTTCGAATTGCAGTGTTAATTTTGAATTCTGTTTAGCTGGGATGTAGTGTTAGGTGTATATGTATATGGATTTTATGGTTGTAAAGAATTTTAATGGTCGTGTGAGTTTGGAGAAGGAAGGTTTGTATATTTTTCTTAGATCTTTATGGAATTATTTTTAAAACAGTTTAGAATATTTAAGTAAACGAAAGGTCTATGTGTTTTTAGAAACATTGATTCATGTATTAATACTGAGTGTGAAGATTTGAATTTAAACTTTGTTACTGGGTTTCTTTACAACAAAATATAATTGATTTGTTGTTACATTAAATTGTTTGTGGTGTGTTTCATACTTTATACTCCCAATAATAACATTTCATACTACCATTTTCAATTTTGATGATTAAATTAGATCTACTTTAATAACTGAATTAATATGATTAATTTATCATATATCAAATCAATAATACGTAATAATTAATTTATTATGGTTAATCCATCGCAAATAAAATTAATAATACTTATTAATTAATATATTACGATCAATTCATCATATACCCAGTTAATAATATTTCTTGCTTTATTATAATTAATTCACCCTCCAATTCAAAGTATACTTACACTAAAAACACTCATTATCCGAAAGGTCTCGAGGTATCTTAAAGAAAAGAAGCAATAAAAGGTACAAAGGGTTAAAACAGTTTCAAATCTTCTTGATCAATATCGCAGGCATGCATATTGATTGAGGCCATTGCTTTTACGTGCAGTTGGTAGATTTTGCTCGGGGTCGGATCCAAGAGGGAGGAGATAGCGAAGGGATTGGTAGGACACGCGACGGATAAGGAACCGATAAGGCGTGGGAAATTCAAGGTAGGAAATTGATGAAGACGAGGTGCGGGATGGATTGTGAATTGGTAGTCCGTGAATCGGGGAGGATTAGAGATAACGTGGTAATCGGGGATTATTAATGGGACGCGTGAAAGTGAGAGACGTTTAAGGTGAAATCCCATGTGACAATATTATTCTATAAAACGAGTTTCCGATGGAAATTCATTGAAAAAGGTTTTAATTGGATTGAGGTTTTAATTAAAACAGTATGAATATTTTAGTGTTGAAAAGAAGAAATATTCTGAACATAGCACTTGAATACAAGATTTATCCAGTGAAAAATAAATATTTAGTTACTCTTGAATAATCTATAAAAGTGTTTATTATTTTTTCAAATTATCTTTATTTGTAAAAACAGTAAATCGTTGAATATTTGAAATTGTACTCACGATTGAATATTTAATATAATAATGCGGATGTTGTTAACAGTATGGTACGGAACTTGAAGTCATAATAATATTAACAATTATTTGAAAAATATATGTTCCTTCAGTTTCCGCTGTCGACGTGGTTTTACATAACAAAACACTATGAATATTATCTCCGGATCCGGTTCTCCAACGAAAAATGGAAACAGGGAGCAACAAAAATTAACAGTCTAGCCTGGCCTCTAGCTAGAAGACCGATAATATGACTGTGGTTACTTTTACAAGTTTCCATTCTGAAACATTTTTCTTAACGATTAATGCAGGGAAACATTTATTATATTAACTAAAATATTCTTTGAGTTAAAAAGTAAGATATTTCCGTAGGAAAAATCTCAGACCTGACATACATTATACTGTACACTGTTTTACTATGTTCAATATATGGTAAAATATAAGAATTATAACTTAATAAAACTATAATTTTAAACAATAAATTATTATAATTATTATTACTATAGTAATTATTATTAATCAGTAATAATCAGATTACTATTAATATAGTAATAATCAATTCTATGTAACAAAAATTAATTTTTATTAATATAGTAATTATTATTATAGTAATCATTATTAATAATAATAATAATGATAATAATCTATTATTTAAATTATAGTTTTATTAAGTTACATACAAGTCAAGTACATATATAGAAATTATATGTAATTATTCTATAGTAATATAACTATAACTTTAAGTCTATTTTTATCAGATAAGTGGTATGCTATCATATTTTATTAAAAATAGATATCGTTATCGGTGATGCATTGACTATCAGTCTTTTGTTGTCAGGTAAGTGCATATAATTTGCACGAAAATCAGGTTTGAAAGGGTCGAAAGCCGATAGAAAACAGGATCATCCTCCGGATCCCAGAAGTAACTCCTTCGAAAGAGAAAGGAGATCCGAAAAGGAGCGATCAGGTCTTATATTTCCTCGCGTCGTTGACCACCCTTTATTTTCGGGTGGAAAGATGAAGTGTCGCTTAAAAAGCTCGACAGAAACTTCCCGGGGGTGCGTGGCAAAGGAAATTCACTTAACGCGACCCTCGACCTTCTTGAAAAACCTCTTCGCGATATCACACTGTGAAATATGAAAGTTTTCGCGTTTATATAAATTATTGGGTCAACTGAACCCTTCTCAATTTTCCAGCAAAATACAAACACACTTTAATTAACTGTATAACTCAAATCACAGGGGTTCATATGGAATGTTCAAACTTTACGATCTTAATCAATTTATATCATCAATAAATTAATAAGTGACAGTCACTTTATTTAATGATATGAATCTTTATTTCATTTTTATTTATATCTTGTTAATATTTGAGTGAATCAGAATAATAATGGTGTAACTACTACGTCTCGGTTGTCGAGAAGAAAAATGCTATTATGTTATTAATGATATCAATTATTATTAGTTATCAATATTAGTATTTAATTGATCCAAAAATGTTTTACGAAAACTTAGAAGTAGTAGACTACTATTTTATTTTGAGCCAATCAATTATTAATACTGTCTCATTATAGAATATTTATATTTTTTATATTTTATTATATTATTTAGAAATATTGGTACTTACGTATTATACAAACATATAGGTTAGTTCTGGGTTAATATTTATTTAATATTACAACACAGTATTAAGATTTTAGTATTATTATTATCATTATGATTACTATTATTATATTTCTCAAAAGGTAATCTGTATAATACCTAAATATCAAAATATTTATATTTCTTTATCTATTCCCAGGAAATTCTGTGCGCTTATTGGGAAGCTTATATCGAAGCATGCAGTCTCTTGCAAAGATGGCGGCGTGCTTCGCGGACGCTTAATCGTCCATTTCGTTGCAGATGGCGGGCACCAAAGCAGTCGAGGACCCAAAAAAGGAGGCCACGGACCAAAACTATGACTACATGTTCAAGTTGTTGATCATCGGCAACTCGTCCGTGGGGAAAACCTCGTTCCTCTTCCGTTACGCGGACGATTCCTTCACTTCGGCCTTCGTATCGACCGTGGGGATCGATTTTAAAGTGAAAACCGTCTTCAGGAACGACAAAAGGGTGAAGCTACAGATCTGGGTCAGTGGAACTTCATAGAATCGATACTAACAGTTCTCATGGCTCGACTGAATACTTGTTGAAAATCAACCCTTTGCCCCATGATTTATTTCTTAACTGTAATCGATACAATATTTGCCAATTATCAATTTATTGAGAAACACAGAAAAACTCTAGATACATTCTATTTATGTTTGTTTTCTGTTCACACTTTTATAAATTTGTAATTGATGTTTATTGAGATTTCTTCTGCAATTAACTCTTTGCTCCACGATTTATGAACCATGTTCCATACAAGTATATTTTGTCATTAACCCTTTGCACTCGATAGTATACTGCGTGATTACGTGAAATATTGAAAGAAAATAGCTTTGTTCCATAATTTATGTGCGATTTCTTGATAGATTAATTTTAAAGGATCTTGTAAACATCTAATTGGAAAGTATTGAATATTTCAAGTGAAAAACTTTCGAGTGCAAAGGGCTAATAATTGATTGAAAACAGAGAAAAATTCTAGGTATATTTTATGTACATCTTTGTTTTCTATGTAAATTTTTCTACATTTCTAATTAATTTATTTTATGATTTCTTCTGGAATTATCCCCTTGCGCTATGATATATTTCTCAATCATGATCGATACAATTACTTTTGTCATTGATAATTGATTGTAAAACAGAAAAATTCTAGTTATATTCTATGTTAATATTTACTCCAAAGTATGATAATTGATAGTAGAAGAATAATATTTAATTCGAATTCAAACGAATTGAATAATATTTTTATTACTTACCATCACAATTATAAATCATTTTAAATCTTCACGACGAGTTCAACACGTTATTTTAAGGCAAGGGGTTAACAAATTAATCGAACAAATATCCGAGTATCCATCTTTCAATTTTCTTCGCTACAATTCCTTACTTTCTTACGAAAAAGCTGAATTTTTCCAACTTTCTATTTCAACAAAATGTTCATGCAGATACATTTCACATTAAAATGTGAAGAAACGAAAACATTTCGTAAGTTGAATTTTAATCAGTTTGCTTGATCTTGGCCGCCATCTTGATTATACGAAACCACATGACTAGCTTCGAAGAACCGGAAACGAAAGCTAAATATGGCTACAAAAGTTTAGCCACATGTGGCTTCATTTATCACTCGAAGGAAGAAATCCATGACCATACATTGTCATTGTATTATTACATCTTATTTATGACAGTCCGTTGTTTCCTTCGCGTGATATATGCTTCCCCGAGTCCCGAAGCTGTCGTCCGTTGGATCCTAAATCATTTTTCCATGCAAATAATGCATTACTTTTAGAAATTACTTCTTCCCTTGTTCGTCGTCACTTATTCTTTTATTACACACTGAACAATTATTGATGGACTATGGTTGTAAGAAAAATAACATTTCAAATTTATAGTACACGTGTAAATATATAAATAATAATATAAGTAACATTTCAAAATAATATTTCTACAATAACAAAAATTTTAATTAATTCTCAACAAGTCTTCAAAACAAAATTCCCAACAATTATTGATGGACAATGGTTGTAAGAAAAATAACATTTCAAATTTACAGTACACATGTAAATATATAAATAATAACCCAAATAATATAACTGATACAAATATAACATAATAATATAAGTAACATCACAAAATAATACTTCCACGGTAACAAAAATTTTAATTAACACGTTGACTGCCACGGTGATTACCGATGACCAGGCTTCCAAGTCGCTAAAGAACAATTACAATAAAAAACTTGATTTTAAATCAGAATATTTAGTAACACAAGTATCTAGACCATAGCGTAATATGACTACTGTAATACTAAATCATTAATAATTATTTTCGATATAATTTGCCTATGTTATTAAAGAATAAGTATTACTATTCAAAACGCTAGAAATTATCGTGACAGTCAACGCGTTAATTTCCAACAAGTAAATTTTCAACGTAACGTCGCCCAACGTAATCTGTTTCTCTGTTATTACTCTGTGAAACAGGCAGCATTTCATAAATATTTTTATCGGAGGAATGTGAAGGTAATTTGTACTGTTAATCGTTTCAGGACACGGCGGGTCAGGAGAGATACAGAACGATAACAACGGCCTACTACAGGGGCGCGATGGGTTTCATTTTAATGTACGACATCACGAACGAAGAGTCATTCAATTCGGTGCAAGACTGGATCACGCAGATCAAGACTTACTCGTCCGACAACGCCCAAGTGATCCTGGTCGGCAACAAGTGCGACATGGCCGAGGAGAGGGTGATCAGCGAGAAGAGGGGCATACAATTGGCGGAACAATTGGAGGTGCAGTTCTTCGAGACATCCGCCAAAGAGAACATTAACATTAAGGTAAAATGTCACATTATGATATTCTCATAGAATCATATCACTATACTATCATATAAACAGATCATTCTATTATTACACCATTATCTTAAACATTAGTCTGTTCGGTTGACAAGTCATATCTTCATCTTATCAGAACAACATATCTCTATGTTATACAGTCGCATTACAACACTATCATATTATTGTATTATGATAATAATGAAACATTGCAAAATGAGTATTTGGTTGGCCAAGAAGTTATACTATCATACTATCATATTACCATACTATCGTATTATAATATTATCATATATTAACATTATCATGGAATATTATATTTTAGATATTTGATCAACGCGTTGACTGCCACGAGTATTTCAAGCTTTTCCTTATAGTAAGATTTATTCCTATATAATACAGGAAAATAGTATTAGAAGTAATTATTAATGTTTTGGTATTACAGTGCTCATTACACTATTATCTAACTTCTCGTGTTACTGAACATTTCGATTCAATAGCAATGTTCATTTCGAGCGATTTGGAAGCTCCAGTTACCGGTGACCACTGTGGCAGTCAACGTGTTAACACATTGCGTACCGATAACGAGAAATCTCGTTTTTATATAAAATTTAATTCGAATTGATTATCTATTTAAAATATATTACATAACAATATGATATCTGAGTTTCTCTATGTATAGTGATAAGTTGACCTCAGTGAAAATTGCCATCACAATTCAGTTTTCTGAAAATTAGCCGGTACGCAATGTGTTAAGTATCGAAGAAATTTAACGGAAGCTTAATCTAAAATGAAATTTCTCTTCGAGCTTCTTTAGAAAAGCAAAGACCTCTTGGCTAACCTAACAGGGTCTAAACAGGACAGTGAAATCAAATGCACGATCCAATTCCAATTATTTGGAACCATCAATTCCTTGAAAACGCTTCTTTTCCAGTGAGACAGTAATAAAGTAGGGCATATTCGCAGCCGTGCCCGTTTCATTTTTCTCCTTCGTTCGTTTACCGAATCCATTATCCCTATGGTTTGCGACGATCGCGTGTCGCCGCCATTAGCGCGCGACGACAGGAAAGGTTGTCGTGTCACGTTTCAACGCTTATTTCCATCCGCCAGGTGTGCGTCTTTGTGTGTGTACTGTACCATTACCTTCGATCGGCTGTCCTCGATTGACGCTCATCTGCGCCCATTAATCACGCCTGCACAACTGGTCGAACCTATTGGCATTGACACATCAACGTTCCACCGATCGATTCCTTTGCCTTTATCCCCAGAGTGTCTGCCTTGAGTCTGTAAAGCAGTCAGTGATCCTGTCGCCAGAAGAAATGCTACTTTCGCAGCACTCGTTGAGTGCATTTATGGTTCAGTTAGTCGTATTCTCACTAAAAAGTTTATTTTAAAGATACTTCTTGCTACTGGCAAAGTAAACTCTAAATTGGCTATGATTATTTAATTGTAGACATGCCCTGAAGTCTTCTTAGCACTAGATCTTTCTATAAAGGTTTTAGTGTTCAAAAGCACTATCTGAGAAATCACTGAAGCAATACATTCTGGTTAGAGGGCTCCAGTATTCAAATTGGATGCCATTGCAGTGGAGGAAACCACTATCGAGTCATTAAAATTTCACTGAAACACTCAGTATCAGTTAGAAGCATCTGAGAATTCTCTAATGGAACATATCTGGCCCTGACTGTCTAACATTTCAATTAGGGCATTCATTTGTGACTTATCTCACATTACCCAAGCTGCATCCATTAGGCTTCGTTAACACGTTGTACGTCGCGCGTTGATCTTGCTCGATGTCACCGCATTCGGTAGTATTGTTTATAATATAGAAATGTTTTCTATATTAATTAATATATAATATATATAACACTATAGTAATTCGATTTGGTTGGGGGTCACCGGTGACCTCCATGGCATTCAACGTGTTAATGGAACATACCTGATCTTATCAATCAAACATTTGAATGACAATGAAAACCTAAATCCTATAAAATGTGGAGGAACACTCGACTGACTCAAACTAAAAACTGAAATTCATAAGAGCAGAATCCTCAAGACTCCATTATCCATCAGATACATCAAAAGAAGTGACACCCTATTTTCTCATGCACAACTACAAATCCTTCCCAAAAGTACTAACAAGTGTATCAAACGCTTCCTGACATCATCGACACTCCTGAATCATTAAACATTACACGACCATCAATATTCCGAGGCTCAACGGAAAGCATTATCCAAGTTCTCCAAAGACCACAATGGTGCTCCCGACAATACCTCACCCAATCCTGAGAGAGATGGCGCCTCCGTAACGGGGATTCACCGCGAACCGCAAACTTCTGCGCAGGCGGTGTTCGAGCAGCTGGTGGACATCATATGCGACAAGATGAGCGAGTCCTTGGACATCGACCCGAGCCTGATCGCCGGCGGCGGGGGCCAAATGATGGGCCACACGCTCACCGACCAGCCGACCAATCCAGTGAACACCAACTGTAATTGCTAAAAGAACGCGGGATGCCCCACTTAAACTCTCTACAAGACGGATAAACACGGGAAAGGAACAACAGGAGGGATATACCTTAGAGGATGGGACGCGTGTATGCCTGTACATGTGTGCGTGATACGTGGCGCGTGGGTATTTGCCTGGTCGTGTGTGTACGCGGAGAGTGTGTGCGTGGGAAAGAGAAAGGGAGAAAGGGAGAGGGTGAGAAAGAGCGAAGGGGAGGAGGGTCGAGTGACAAAAACGCTGGCTCTAGTTCACACAACCCTGTTCGTCGTTCCTTTAACAAACCCCTTTGGTTTCCGGCCGTTCTTCGTTCCGCTCTTTTTTCTTTCCTCCTTTCTCGATCAATATATATTTATATATATGTGCACATAAATACGTATATATGTACAGGGTGGATCGCGACGCGTCGATTAGACTGCTTGTCTTCCTCCTCAGTCGAGCTATGCGGTGTGCCGTAGCGTATCCAAGGGGCCGTTGATCGAGATTATTAACGAATCGCGATGACACGATCTAGAAACGAACAGAAATCCGACAGAGAAACAACGCCCTCGATATTCTATCATAGCTTCATCGTGGAATAAGAATTCCAAGATGGCGTCCAAGCCGACCAGTTGGGACGCTAGTGCACAACGTGTATACCACACCGTCTTTTCTAATTCTTTCAGCGGATGATTTCCCGTTGTTGCCATCGGTTAATGTGTACCGCACGGTACAACATTCGGTGCACCTGTGAACGTACCTTAAACGAAAGAACAAAACCGCTTTGCACCAAGCCAAGTCTAACAGGATCGATTCGCTGAGGTTGAACACGGCACGGCTGATTGAGAGATTAGCCGGTCCACCTTGTATGCATATAGAAACATGTATGACGGTTGTAGCCTGATTGCGCGGAGGTGCCATCGAGCTGATCCGAGCCCGATCGCGAGCAGACGTCGTTCTTTCTTTCGGGTTCGAAAGGGTTTGTCCGAGGTAAGGGAACCGGGGTATCGACGATAGCGGCGGAGAGAAACGCGAAGCTCTAAATGTATAATGGGGGAAAAAACTTACCGGAGAGTTTGAATTCGGCGAGATTCAGACCGCCGCCTATCGCCGCAACCGACGGTCGGCAATGCAGAGTCTCTCATATCAGTGAAGTTTCTTTCGAATCCCGAGGACGGTCGGACAATAATAGAGGGAACGATTTTTCTACAACACGCGGAAGACGAAGGGTGTAAACTGGCGCGAGAGAAATTCGTTCGGAATGTATTTTCGGTGGCGGAAGGATCGAAGGACAGCAATAATGTTCCTCGCGGGGATTGTTTCGGCGAGTCAGCGCGTTCCCTAGAAGCTTCCTCCGAACCTGACTGGCTCTAGAGATCTCCCATGCGGTTCTCTCGCTTCTTTTCTGGGTTGGCGCAGATTAGGAACTCATTATCAGTGTACCAGCTTCGAGGGAACGCGACTGGCTCGATAGTGATTGTTGCTGACGGTTTCAAGCGCACCTCGACTCGTAACCGAGTGCATTCGACGCGCCGAGCCGCGTGCAGCTTCATGGAGAAATATTTGAGAATGTTGCCAGCAGTTGTAACAGGATTGGAGTATATTCCTTCGAAGCTCGTACGCGGCTTCAGCGCGTCCCTAAAGCGTTCAAGCGTGCAATTCATGTGACAAATAAATGTTATGCGTTCAATTGCAGCTCTGGCAACAAAGAAAGAAATATATATCTGTGTTGTATTTAACGAAACGTCGTACACGTTGAACATTATTCTTGGTTATGTACATACGTTCTTTTCTCTTCTTATTTCTCACCTGACTGCGAGGGAAAGGATTCACAGGAATTCGAGACCTTTTCAGGATTACTAAACGGTTCGACGAGGACCGTGTGCGACGAAGCGCGCGGAAACTTCGTCGGACACCGTGAAATCGCCACGGGACAAAGATCGATGGTGTTTGGAACGTTGGGGATTCCGATCGACGCCTCGAAGACGAAAGACAAGGAGGGAACCGGATGTGTAGTTAGCTCGAACCTTGTAGGTGCTTCCTTCGCGTTTGTTACTGAACCACTTGAAAAGAATTTCCAGTTTTCCCAGCCGCGTAGCTGTACGTTTGTGTCATTCATAGGGTGTTCGGATTAGATTTCGCCCTAGGTGGCAACACTGTTTCTACCGGTCCTAAGAGAGTCTAGGGTATTTCTTTGACCGTCTACAGTTTTCCACTGTTTTTCGAGGCTGTCCTCGTTCGAACCTGAAACGTTGGCGACGTCGAGCCGATGCACAACGTTAATTTCCGAAGGCTCAAGCTCGGGCACCTGAGATGTTAAATAGAATTGTGTCGCGGCGGCTGAAGCAAGTCGGCCTGGACGATCGGGGCTTCTTTGGGATTCCGGGACGATTGGCAGCGCGTCCGCCTCGTACCGGGGACTTTTTGCTTTTCTTGGACCGGATCGTTGGGGCAGGTAGAGGTAACGGTTTCTTCTTGAAATTCGAACGTTTCGTTGATCGTTAGTTAAGTAAATGAAAATTCGGAAAGGGCGGGGAGGTAGATGTTTTCTCTTGGAACAATCGGTTTCTATCGATGAGAATGGTAATATAATTGTAATTGCGTGGGTAATGTGTACAAAGTGTCATGTTTGTTCCAACCGGGCGGTGCAACGCAATTGAAATTGTATTATAAATTGCGATTATGAGTTACTATTATAAACTGCACAGCCTACACGAAATGATTCTCATGGGTTTATAGTAATAACTTGTAAATAGAATTATACGATCTATATGTTTGAACAAGCGTGTGTAAAGAAAAATAGTAAATAATGTTACATTCATTGTTTCCGCATTCATTATAACATTAGCACTATTATTCTTCGAGTCAATCGAGTTCAAAGATTAATGAATACGTTTAAATTATCTTTCAGTATTCTCTGAAACTTTAGTTCCTATTTTCTCCTTTCTTTCTTGAACTCGTCGATTTTTATAAACCGTTAACCCTTCGTTGATGATTTATAATTAGAATAAATTGTGAGTAGACAAATTGATAAATTATAATTAGGGAAATTGATAATTCGTAATTAGAAAAATTGATAATTTACAATTAGCAAAATTGATAACTTATAATTAGAAAGAAATTGATAATTTTTATAAATTGATCATGGCGAAGATTAGGATATTTGAAAGGACAAAAAAACATTTTGAACCGTTTGAAATCGAACGCGGTGGCATTATTTCCCGGCTTCTAAGCTCGCGTGACAATAAGCAAACAATTCTTGGCGGATCGATTCCAAGAAAAGCGAAATACCGGTATTTATACAACTGGAACAGACGGATCGGCCATTTTGCGACTGCGGCGCGTCGATGGCCCCATTTCGCGAGCGATCCCGGGATCGCGGCGAATTCAACGATTCGGATCTCTCGCTGCTTCACTCTTATTAATTGGAGAACGATCAAAGCGAGGCCTTCATTGACGGGAAATATATTAATTAAAAGGGCGGGACGGTTGAAAGACATTTCGAGCCGACCTGGTTTCCATTCGGTGCGTTTGGCTCTCGACGAACGAATTCACGTGCGAATAATGCCATACTTATTTGGCTGCAACAATAATGGCCGGAACAATATTGCCACGAGTATTTATTAAGCAATTTCATCGTTCACGCGATCGAAAAATTATTGGAACGAATATTCACCTCTCACGACCGATTGTCTTTGGTTTCTTTGTATTTCTGTATGTATTTTAAACACTGGTATTATTTATTCCACTGAAATAATTATTTTCGTCAGTGTTACTTGAAATGAGTAACGATTCATTTTATTGTTTATGTAATCTAGATTTTATATTATTGTTTCATTGAACAATAAACGTATATTGAATAAAGTGGAACAGAAGGATACGAAGATTAAACGAAGGGGACATTATCGAAGCTATTTTTGTCGGTGAAAAGTTATTGGAACGAATATTTATTCTTACGACCAATTGCCTTTAGTCTCTTTGCTGTATTTTAATTAGAATTACTTATTCGACTGAAATAATTATTTTTGTCAGTGTTACATGAAATGAGTAACGATTCATTTTATTGTTTGTGTATTCTGGATTTTATATTATTGTTTCATTGAACAATAAAAGTGTATTTAATAAAGTGGAACGAAAGGATACGAAGATTAAACGAAAGGGACATTATTGAAGCTATTTTTGTCGATGAAAAGTTATTGGAACGAATATTTATTCTTACGACAAATTGCCTTTAGTTTCTTTGCTGTATTTTAATTAGTATTACCTACTCGAGTGAAAGAATTATTTTTACCAATGTTATTTGAAATGAGTAGTGATTAATTTTATTATTCATATAATTGGATTTTATATTATTGTTTCATTGAAGAACAAAAGTGTATTGAATAAATTGGGACAAAAGAATATAAACATTAAACACAATCGAAATTATTGAATCTGTTTTTACTGATAAACAATGATTAGTGAATCAGTTAGAAAATAAAAATGTGCATCGGTCTTCAGCGTCAATTACCACAGAAAACATGGCGTCCAATCCGACTGCTTCAGTCCTCGCCTGGCGTTACAAACTTACTAGGCAAGCTGCCCTCTGTACATACAGCAATATGTTTAAAAAAAATACCTATTATATATATATATATTATATTATATAAATATATATATATGAAGATATATATAAAGATATATATATATATATATTATTGAATCTGTAATGAAGTGCAATGTAAGCGTTACTTATTCGTGTGAACACAGACGCGA